TCCCGAAGCATCTACCAAACAGCACTAAATCCTGTAAAGTGGCGGCAAACAAAGAATGATAATTTGGCGTTTTGTGGGCACAGCAGGGTTAACTGAGGCGAAACAGCTTGCAAAGAATCTCGTGCTCTCGTACAGGGTGCGAAACCGCTCCACGCAAACTGGAAACTCCTGCAGATGTTTGCAGATTGCAGATCCTTTTCGAAGATTCACGGGCCTTTCAAGTCAGCAAATTCAGCAAACCTCCCGGACCAAGCATCTCCAGTCCCGGAAAGGTGTTGCTTCTGCCAAGATGCTCCATATCCTTCTGAAACCTGAGAGTTCAACTCAAATGCTGCGAACCCCTGAGCAATCAACGTGCCGGATCAATGAAAAACTATCGCAAGGGAGGATGGTTTGCCTAGATCTGGCTTAGTGGCTCCGGCCGGCTTTCAATGCCCTCTCGGCTCATCAAATTGAGATGGAGCAGCCTTGGCAACGAAATGCTACAGCCATGTCATTGGGAAATCAATTTGCAGCAAATGCCGAACGATGCGCTCAAAGAGGTGAAGCATGGTGTTTTGGTGTTTGACTCTCCTAAGATGGTGGTTCGAGTTCACCGTTTGATTTTGGAGTAGCGGGTTTCGAGGTGAAGCTCCAAAATCAGTTTGGTCTCTAACTCTCTCGCAGGTCTGCGCCCGTCTCCGAGCCTCGGGCGTGCGGCCTGACGGACGACATACATCGACCCATTCGCAGCGATATTCGGAAAGCCCATTCTGCGTAGATCCTAGAGTGACTCCCCCACCTCGTGGTGTATGTATGCGTATGGTGAAAAAGATGGCGTCTTCCCATCCCCTTTGGAATCTCACCTGGCGTGGAGATCCGCTTGAGCGCTCGCAGGTAGTCCTCCAGGCACCCGCTCCTGCCATGATGATCGAGACATGGATGAGAACTGAGTCTCAAAAAGTGGTCAGGAAGGGAGGAAGGGAAGGGGAGCTGATGAGACGCGTTCTGGATCTCCTGTACACGTTCTGAAAGATGGTGTTGTCAATCAACAGGTCCTTGGAGTGCATGAGGCTTCAAGCCAAACGCTCCGGCCGGTGCAGCAAACTTCTTCGATCAAGCATGCTTTTCGATGAGCCACCAGCGGAACGGAGGGCTCTGGTAGCTCACAAGCATCAGCATGGTAGAAGAAGCACCCAGCCTTGCAGAGACGGCCGGGCGTCACAAATCATCTCAGCCGGCAGATGTGGACCAAAACCGAGGCTCTGACGGTTCCGCTGTACTCCTTCCTCGCAGCCTGGCAGATTTGCAAGGAAGGGTGGCCAAAGAATATATAAGAATATATTGGTGAGGCTCCTGAGTGGCATTGACCTCCAAACTGACCGAGTGGGATTTCGACCTCTTGGATTTGTCCAGATCTTCCTTCAAAGCTGCCGCACATACGTGAGGCTCACATGTTTCTAACCATTGTCAATGTGGACCTTCACCAAGGCCTTCACCCAAATCACTCATGTGTCTACGTCCTTACCAGGTTTGTGCTTCACCCAATCCCCACCCTCCCCACGCGGTTTTCTCGACGTCGCCTTGATGGCCGCCCAGGCAAAGTCCACCCCGCCCACCACCACAGCGTCGCGCTCCTCGCAAGGGCAGGCGGCACGCGCGGCACCTGCCAAGTGGGCGACCTGAGGAAACATCAATGAAAATGTCAAGGAATGCTGAAAAGGACACATAAGCTGAAAGAATGACTTACCCATGCATTTTGGCGCCAGAATTGCATGCGATAATTGGCAAGGACGCATTTCCTTGCACAGTGCTCCCACACGTTCATGCTCGGGCCAAAGCATCCAAGCCAAGGCCGCACCCCAAGATCACAGCAGAGAGCCCGTTGAGCTCCTGCAAGAAGCATAGATTGAAAAATTGCACCAGCATCAGCATAGAGCCCAACAAGCTAGGCAGAATCCAACGACACAAAAAGTCATTCTGTAGCTGTTGACATGTGGCTAGCTGCGGCTAGCTGGGACTATATAGAATGTACATTGCAGCCAGCACGGCCAGCTCACAGCATCAGCACCAGCACCGACACTCTGTCTCCAAAGCGCGTGCAACCAGCTGACACCAGCACCGGCACTAGCACCAACACCCTGCTTCGAAAGTGCACAACAGCCAGCTCATCCTGCTTTTGAAGAAAGATCCTCTTACCTATCGCAATCTGGGGAGAAATAATATACACCACATGACAAGAAAAAAGACACCCAACCGCATCCCAACTACCACCAAACCCCCTCCTGCAGTTCCGAGCACAGCCGCTCGATCTCCAGCTTCGGCCGTTCGAGGCTCCAGAACTCGAAGCTGCCGCCGGGCCCGTACTCCCTCGGAAAGGGCAGGTCTGGGTCACCAGGGCGGGAGGGATCGGAGAAATGCGGGGACTCGAAGAACTGCGGGTGTGGTGGATGGATGTCCCATGGTCTTAAGACCCAAAACCATACATATAAGCCATATCCTAGGCATACAGGAGCACCTTCTGATCGTCATGGCTTTTGTGGACTTGAACTTTCGACCCTCAAGACACGGCGGTCGCCAAGGGCGGTTGCCAAGTCGCCGATTCCAAAAGAGCTCCTCGTCGCTCAGCTCCTTTCCGGATTCAGCACGATCACGGCATTGGAAGAGGCCCTCCCTGTTCCTTGGACCAGATCTTTGATGAATCTTTGGCTGCGCACACGCTCACTCACTCACTCACTCACTCACTCTCTCTCTCTCTCTCTCTGTACATTCTCTTCGACCCTTGAGAAGTGCTATGGCGTTTTGACGCCAGATCTGAACACTGCCCTCTTGCATCCTTTTGCGGTACCCATTGTATGCATGCTGCATGATCATCAAATGACATCGCCCACGTTTCTTAGAGCCAACCAGCCACGGATGGAGCGCCAAGCCACGCTCTTCGCAAGGCGTGCAGCCCGTCGGGCCGTGGGAAACGGGGGAGGGACAAGGCCGCAGACCTGCCACTGCTGTCCACTGCGATTGGAAAACGGCCATATGAACTTGATTGAACTTGGCGGACGTGACAAAACTGCCAGTGAATTCTTTTGGTTTGGGCTTCCGAGGGGGCTGTGCCCGTACTAGGGACAGGAAGTGATTGTTGAAAAAGAGAGCGGAGAACCGAACCATGCGGAAAGGGCAAGACCTATGGCACTATGGCCTATAGTTTCAACCTCTTACCACCCTTGCCCCCAACATCTCAGGATAGTTGCATGTGAATCCATCTCACACTGCCGCAAAGCCCTCCACATCTTGCGGGCCTTGTTCCGCTCCATTGACCTCGGCCTGCCAAACTCACCAAGCCAGCACAGAAAAACAGCTGTTTTGGGAAGCCCCAAGAAGAACGAAGCAAGACGCCGAAGTAATCCAAGGGTGGCATGGGAACCTGTCCAACCACAATGGTACAAGACATCGGTCGTCTCTCAAGCAGGGTGCACGGTATATTTCTACGCGTGTTCTCTCGACACTCACGAGGGCAGCCCGCTGAACCACCGCCATATCGCACCCTACACCCTGGAAGATTAACATGGAACCTGAAAACCACTGAGTTGTAGATGTTGTGAAGGAAAATCGTCTTCCAAAGGTCCATTTTCGGTTCCATGACCATCTTCCCGAGTGTAACCCATCAGCACAAACGTGCTGGAAGATCAGGTCCAGAGCCCCACCTGGTCCGAAGCAAAAGGTCTCGATGACAGCCTAGAAGGGGGCGCGTCAGCTCCCAATAAACTGTCGTTGCATCTTATGATACAGTGGGGGCACAGAAAATCACAGAAATGTCTATCAAAGACCTCTCAATTTGACATCAAGTCGCCTGGTCATTAAGATAATTATGTAAGGGAAAGGATTGTCTTCCAAGCACTTCTAACGGCCTAGCGGCTAGTGAGTGGGTCCCTGCTTCAAACCTGAGCGCCCCCACACAGCCGAAACCAACCCAGCACAGCCGGCGGCACACCACCATTGGTCAGGCCCATGGGCAGCATGCGGAAAGATTTGTGGGTATACATACAGTTCATATGTGTATATATATACACACAACACAAATTATATATATAATAGTGATATATATATATATATATATAACTAGTTGAATCTTGTTGGAAGGTTCATCTTAAAAAAAAGAACTCAAGCGGCTTCCAGGTGGCCAAAGGAGTGCTGCAGTGGCACATGATTGGAGAACTGGCCGGCTAGGTGGCCTTAGAAAATACACTGATGTAGCATCCCCGTTTTCCTCTTGTGATCAGCGAGCCTGCTGCGGCTCAATAAAGAGACTGTTGGACTGCTGGCTCACACCAGCCACGCTCCAAAACAAACATCAAGCTACATATAGTTCCAACGAGTATGTCAAATCAAACGTCAAAGTACTGTACCAGGAGTGCGCTCGGTCAACTCGGAGTGCAGCTCCGAGGACTTGACTCATTGGCGATGTGGAGGTGGCCTCAAATCCAAACCTGGTTCCCTGGTCTTGGCAGCGGGAACCTCCACCAACCAAAATCATTGTGTTGCACCATGGAAGGACAAATTAGTTGCTATGAGGCTACGTGACAGCATTACAAAGGGGCATGAAACCCTGCCAGGAGTTCCTTATCTTTGTTGGGGGCATGTCTATCCAAGCACAGGTTCCTGATAGCCAAAGGATGCCGAGGGTCTCCAAAAAAGAAATGTGCTCCGCACAATCGATGATTTCCTCCAACTCCAACCCTGATGCCCCTAATCCTGGCACCCAGTTCCAGCCGCAGGATTGCGCGCCCGCGATCCACCAGAAGAACCACCAGGTAAAACCCCAAAAAAACGCTCCAAGCGGGTCCTGGAGCGGGTCTTCGTTCCGCCATCCCAACGGAAAACACCGGTTGCGCGTTCACCGCCTTAGGCGCCCGGGCAGCTGTTCACCGCCGCATGCAGCGCCGTGTTGCCTGGCGCGCCCGCCCGGCTGTAGCGGAGCAGAGCGGTCCGACGCGGTCCGCGGTCCGCGGCCGGTCCTGCGCGGTCGCAGGCACGGTGCCTCGGAAGCAGGCACGGTGGAGCAAAAAGAACCCGGGGAATCGGGGAAGCAGAATGACCAGGGATAACCAAAGGACTGGTGACTAAATATGTCTGAAATGTTAGACTTTCTTCTCCAGTGAGGATGACCCAAAGGAAACTCCTGTTGTAAGGGCCGCAAAAAATGCAAAAGCGGTATCAGCCGTAATCTAACAAATATCTCACAGGGACATCAAAATCAAAGTCTGTTGATCAGCTCGGACCACTGGGATGAACATCTGAGGTTCCCCAACCAGGGCGAAGAAGCCAGGGCCGCAAGAGCTTGCTGAAATGAAACCTTGGAGTGAGTAAGGTATCTCATCAGTTGGCGTTGAATTGGATTAGTGATTGTATCTCAAGAGTTATGGTTTAAATGGGTTTAGACACCCTTTGATTTCAGGCGAAGGCACTGCTCCTGCTGAAGAGCAGTTTAGTTGCTTCATCCAGCCAGGCGTGTTTGGCTTCATCAACCTTTTGGCATATCGGAATCGTTTTTGGAGGCTCCCCATCTTTTTGAGACACATGCGTCTTGGACCCAATGTGGCTGCTTCCTCAGGTTTGGACATCATGCCGCAATGGCACTAGGACAAGTCGCTACACCCTTTGGTGGCAGGCCCTATTTTGAGACTATGCCTCCAAGATCCTCCAAGTAATTTAAACCTTCTCCCTTCGATGCTCAGCTTTTAAGCTCGATGGAACGAAAGAGAAGGCAAGGGGGTAGATTAAGAAATGACATGAAGGAACGGCCAATGCGCAGACTCTGAAGATCGATCCACATTTTACACATGTTCCTTGTCGACCGCGCCGCTTGCGCTTCTCTCGTCAGCGATGAGATTCTCCGCAGATTTGACATTCTCATCAACGAGATCATGGAAAGTCCTCCAATTCAGTTGCCCTCTTCTCCACCTCGTCTTGTTGCACAAAGTAATCCCCAATTTTATACATCAACAGAACGCAAACAATTCCACACACTACATGCAAACACTGGTGATTCTTCGCCTGGATCTTCTTATAGACCTTTCCTTTGAAAGCCTCGATTCTTTTCGTTGGCAAGTAAATCTGCCGGAACTTGTTGAAGACGACATCATCTAGGGTCAACAAAAATTCAAGGGCGGTGCAATCCAGTACCAACTCAGTATTGCTGTTGGAGTGTGCTATAAACCTCACCCCCGCACAGGAGATGAAGCACGCCACCAAGATTTTGGGCAAGATCACAAGGGCAAAGATTGACAACCTTGCTAGATGACGACCGCAGTTTTCCCCGAACCACTTGATCCGACCACTGGTGAAGCAAAGGGTGTAAAGAATATCAAAAGTCTGAACGAATTCGAGGTGCATAAGCATGAGCCAAGCGAAACGCCCCGTGTTCCTCTCCCACTGGTCGCGGTTCAAGTGCACATTTTTTGCATCAAATTCTTTCCAGAAAGCATAGGTCAAGCCAAGCTGGCAACCATGCGAGAGGAATAGAAGAGTCAGATTAATGAACATCATCGCAATGTCATCGCAGCGACCACCGTCGCCTTCTTCAACTTCCTCCGTAAGCATGTGGTCCAAGATCATCAAGGAGACGAAGTGAGGGTCACCCTGCAGATCCTCCAGACCGAGAAAGGCGGCCTTGGCCTCGCCTTCATTGCCCTCATCCTGGACCTCTTCAGTCTTGATGTCTTCGCCTTCTTCATCTGGTGCCGATTCATAGGAGCCGCTGAGCCTACTATATCCCTTTGAACTTGGGCGGCCGGGCATGTCACTAACCAGCGCAGGGCTTGCTGCGGAGGAGGAGCTCCGAATGGAAATAGACACTTTGGGCCAAAGAACGGCTAAAGCTATCGATCCATTTGGTTTGGCACCCCATGGAGAAGTCTGAAGACACAAGGACCTGGAATGTGGAACATCAATGGGACACGCCAACCAGAACCAGCCGTAAAAGGCAGCAGCAGAGTGGTGAAAGTCCAGTAGCGTTTTTCATGTGAGCCTCTGGCAACATGCCCCTGCAAAGCAGCAGAGTGCAGCCTTGGTGGTCTGAGCTTGATCTGAGCCATCCACGCATTTAGATCCGATGTGGAAAGAGAAGGAACTTCAAGCAGTTCAAAACGACTTATAAATGGTACTGTACAAGCGCCACTCGACGAGCCACTGAGAGAAACACATGGTGTGAGGGTTGTCTAAATTCTCAACAACCTGAGGGGTCCCACACCTGCTCACTTAAACAATAGGTAAAGGTAAAGAATCGTAAAAATGTAGGTACACAACAATTGGGCTTGGCATCAGCATGCCGCCAGCCTCCATGCGACCTGCCGCCACGTCTCACTACAATTGTATAATTATTGGCTTCAAGTCCGTTCACAATAACATATGATATATATATATACACATATATATGAAATATATATATATGTGTGTGTGCGCGTGTGTGTGTTTCAGCAGAACTGCTGTATTGCCGCATCGTCCAAATCCTTGGTTGCTGGGCTCACGGATCTGTTCAGAGGCTCTGAACTCTTCGAAGCCTCGGCGCCGAACTCTTTCGCCGTTGATCCCTCGACTCGGCAACACTTTGGTGAGAACCAGGCAGAGCCAACTGAGCCAACCATTTCACTGGCTCATCTCCATGCGGAGTCCAACAGGTCCTCTCAACTTGCAAGCCTCTAGCTGGCAAGGGACTCATTTGCGACACCAAATCTGACTCATTTGCGACACCACCACCCCCCTGTATTCCTCTCATGTACGACACCAAATCTCTCTCATTCGCGACACAGACACATACACACATATGATTGCAAGCATTAGGTTGGGTGGGACATTAGGTTGGGGTGGGGTGGGGTGGGGCATTAGGTTGGGTGGGGGGGGTGGGGGGGGTTTAGGGGTGGGGTGGGACATTAGGTTGTTGGGCTTCAGAGTTTAGAGTGGCATTTGGTGGAATTGGTGTGGAGCTGGATTGGAGCTTTATGACTTTATGAGAACCAAGCAAGGGCCCAGAAGCACACAGATTCTCTAAAAGAAAAGCTCTCCGCGTCACAACTGAGAAAAGCTCTCCGCGTCACATTCGAGACAAAAAAACGCGTCACAACCGAGACCCTTTCCCTCTAGCTTCTCCCAAACGCCCACCCAAACCCTTCCTGAATCTCCCAAGGCCAGTGCCATCTGCAACCGCCGCCTCCAGCAGAAACCTCGGGCGCCGCGATCCGGTCCGCCGCGGTGCCGCCGCGACCCCCGGGTGAGTCCATGGCGTTGATGGACAGGGCAGCAGCCGAGAGGCGATCCTGGTCGAGGAAAAGCCGGGGAGCCCGTTCAGAAGCAGAAGAACACAAGAAAACCTGTGGGAAAAAAAAAGGTGGAAAGAAGTGGCAAGTTTATCCTGCCCGGAAAGCTGATGGGAAAAAGAACCAAGCGATGTAAGAAAAACCAAACCACAGAAAAGAAATTCTCCCTGCACAGTGTTGAGAGTAGAGGCACAGGCAAGGGGGGATAAGACGGATAAGAAGGGACCTGCCGTGCAAAGCAAGCTTTCAAACGCTGAGGCCTTCTCTTTGAAGAAGAAGCAGAAGAGCTGCCTGTCCATCCACCTGCTCTGACTCTGCCGAATTTAATCTGAGGGGCGACCGTTCGCAAGCAGCGGACATTTTCGGACACTCCGTGCGATGAGGCCAAGAATTTGCTGGCGCGTCTTCGAAGCACAGCTTGAGAGGGATGCCCCAGCATTAATCAGGGTGCACCCCAGTGTTCTGAACCGTCACACACAAGGATAATATTAAATTCATTCCTGACAGACTCAGCTATCTACAACGAATCGAAACTATCCTAGAATCTAATTTAAATTACTGGGGGCCACCTTGATAGGATATATACAACAAATTGAAACTATTCAGCTTCCATCGAAGGTCTCGCACCCGTTCCTTTCGGCCTCCGCAGTGACGACGAGTCCGACGTCCAGAGCGACACAGCGACGTTCGTGCTGCTCAGCGACGTCAGAACCCTAGTCAAGCACCTCACCGGAACGACTGAGCATCGGAGCGCTCCTGATTCTATTTCTGGGATTGTTTGCCATGTTGACAGGTGGACGAACACAAAACACCACGATTCCCCAACCTGCGTGCTCCACCTCCAAGCCACCTTAGCACCGGCCACCCGGTTCCAACCTCGAGCAGACCGGCACCCGCAGGGACCCACAGTCCGGCGAATCGATCGACAAAAGTTACAAGGAATTCCCAAACGGATCGATCATGACATGCATTTCGTCAGCCAAAGGCTGAAGGTTAGCCAGGCCATGCCTATCCGGAGACTCATATAGCAATTTACGAGATTTTATATTTACGTCTGACAAGGCAAGACCGGGACATTTGGTAGGAAACCAGCCAGGATGAGTGCATGTCAACCAGCTCACGACACTGGCGGTTGCTCCCAGGGACGGCGGAAGCGCCAGGACCTCCTCACAATGTCGCAGCACCTGGTGCCGAAGTGCGGAACTTCCGAGAGACCACCATTGGAGGACAGGAGGTCCGAGAGATGCGTCAACTGCCTTACGATTTTATCTTTAAAACATAAGCATGTTGAGCAACACAGGACACAGGTCTTTCAGTCCCTACCTGGTCAAGGCCGCAGCCCCATGGAGCTGATGGGGCCGCCAGCGCATCTGCGATTCGAGTCAGTCCTTGGATCTACAAACGCAAACATTGACCCGGCCAGTGTGAAACTGCAATGTCCGTCCATGTCCATGTCGAGAATCATTGGAACAAGTGCGTCGTGCCTATTTCTCGCGTTAGGTCATCCTGAATCCTGCACCAGTAGGATGTGACAGGATGTGCCTACAATGCCTCATATACATCATACCCTTCTCCGTCTCTCTCTCTCTCTCTCTCGTCCGCCGGAGCCTACGTCCCGCGGTTAAGGCCAAAAGACGTCTCCACAAGCTGGTGGAGTGCACCACCTCGGCTGGTCTACACAACCGACCAGCTATGGACCATCATAGGCGGGAAAAAAGCCTTCCACCTCAGAAGTTGTCATCTCTTGAACTGATGTCGGCTCAGCCATTGCGCTCCGTCGCGCCTTGCATCTCATATTTTAATTAAGGAGGTGCTTGAAAAGGTATATTGCTTGCATGTGGCACCCTCTGCCCCAGCCACGTACAAGACCCGCTTGCAGCTACGTGACCGGCTGCACGCATTTGGAGCCTAGGCCAAATGGGCTTCACGCATCATCCGCGAAATAGGAATCTTCACTTCGCTCCCTGAGATATGTTCCAGCCAAATCCTAACACCACTGCAAACACTTTCCTTCCAGTGGTCTGTTGATCCTCCGGCGTCCTGTCCAACTTCATGAGACCCTGCCATCGCGGGGCAGCATCGTTGCCCAGGAGTCTGATCCGATGCAATGAAGCTTCGCGAGCACTTTCCGCAGACACATCCTCAGACCATGAGGGCCAACGTGCCGTGCACATCTCGTAAAACAAGCCCGTTTTGGATGTCTCCAAGTGCGTTTTGGGTGTCGCATGACTGCCAGATCGTCAGTGAAAGCTGGCGGCGCCCTATGACTGCTCCAATGCTGACTGCGGCCCAGTGGCGCCCGCAGAATCATTGGCCTCAGGTGTCCTGAGTACCACTGAGAGCCCTGATCAAAACACCCCCAAAAATATATTTCCACAGGTCTGGGCTCAGGTCAGTTCAATAGTGAGTTTAAAGAAGTCTCTGAAATTGTTGGTCTGTTTTTGGTTTGGTAGAAGTTGGTTGAGGGACGAAGTGACTTGCAGCCTTGACTAGGGGGGAGGGTGGTTTCTTCATCAAGAAGTTAAGATTCTCTGGAAGAAGGTCGAACAGCAGGTTCACACTATTTCACATGATTCGACAGTCCCGATCCGAGATGGGTCTGAGGTTACCTGTGTCCTGTCCACACAATTTCGGGTCTGGTACAGTGGATACAGTTGATACGGTCCCAAATCTGATACGGTGCATCAGGACTGGATAGGGCCCCTTCCTGAAAGCCTTGAATCTGCTTGTTTCATCTTGCGGTCCCACTCTTTTGGGGTCTCTGATTTTGAGGCGACCAAATTTTTCAAGATTCTAGCAGTCCGTCTATGGGTCTACCAGAATCACCAGTTGATCCATCTCCGCTTCCAAAACCCTCACGCGGCGGCTCCCACTGAATGGTGCCCAGCTTCGCTTGCCCAGGCTGACCGAGCAAAGCCCACATTGGCTGCTGTCTGGTTCCCAGTCACCTAGGTGACTGGGCTTTTGAGGAGTCGAGGCGTCATGCACTACCGTTCACTCTCCGAAAACCTGACAGAATTCCAACTCCTGGAGAGTGAAACGCGGGGTGTTTCACACACCCCACCGAAGGACGAATGAGTTGGGGAGTCGCATCACTGGTTCCGGAATCGCGATGGGGGAGTTATATACATCCGCTCAATGGAGATTGCGCGAGATGTCTTTCCCGGGTGTCTTGGCATGCAAATCTTAACTTTGAGGGAAGTCAAGTACAATAATTCAAAACCAGGACCTCCTTTTCAAGGTGGTCATGTCAAGGTTGTTTCACATCACATCACCTCGCAACAGGTGACCAATGAATACATTCACACAGATTCACCCACGTTCTCAGCTTCCCAGGTGAGATTTATTGATGGTCACGATACGTTTGTTGGACAAAAGTTATGACTCACCCAGGTCACTCACTCACCTTGGAAGGATTGGATCTATCAGCCCCTGTGACCAAGGGACCGCCGCCCAGGCAGGGCGCTTCTCTTGAGGGTGGCCGAACCGCTTGAAGCCTGGCAGGGCGGCGCTTGAGAGCCGCCCGTCGACCGGAACAAGACCGGCCTACAGCGCTGCTTTGATGTTCCATAGAAAAAGAGGTCTTAGTTATTTTTGAATTTGTACTTATAGTATCTTATAGTACTTATAACAAGTATATACTAAGAGTATAGTTATTTTATACATATATATATATATATACATATGTGTGTGTTGTGTGTGTGTGTGTTTTTAGTACGTATAGTATCTTTATAGTGTATCCTGGATCCTGCACTTATGGAAGAAGTGAGCAAGCAAAAATGCGACGGGGACCGGCTCGTGTGTACGTTCCAGTGCCGGCCATGGCTTTGGACTACTCACGTGGGTTCCCGGGCACTCTGCCTGGAGATCAAAGCGCTGCAGCCCTCCATGGCTTGCTCCAGACTTCTTGGCTGCAGCTGCTTCTTCGTGTCCTCACCCAGGCACCGGGTTAGACAGCAGAAGTTGAACGAAGCGGCTGGGCCAAATCGGCCAAAAGGACCTGGCGGGCAGCCTGACACATGCTGCAGCTCTATCAGTCCTCCACTTCTTGAACCTCCGGAACGGCCTCCAGGCAAAAAGAGAGGGTGGCTGGTGTTGAGGACGTAGCCACTCATGGATTGAGAGGGGTCTTAAAAGGCGTGAACGCTTAACGCTAAATCGCTAGAGTTTTAAAGTCCAATGCATTTGCGGGAGCTCCTACAACTGAAAAGTTCTTTCTCCCTGAGCCCTCATGATCCTCATGCTTTTGTTGGAGAACTGTCACTCAGGACTTAGGACACTGGCCTCCTTCTGCAACCAATCCAACATCCGCTTCTCCAGGCCTCAATGCCCGAAGCCAAGTCTGGAACTCCAAAGAATCCAAACGAGGGGGGAGTAGACACTGAGAATCACCCCAAACACAATTGAAAACATGACACCAACGTCAAAATCCCGAGAGTGAGCAACATGTCTGCCGCCGCACCCTCACAAAAAAACGTCGGTAGAATCGGTAGAACATGGTAGTCAGTTTGAGGCAGAGCGCTGAAAGTTCAAGGTTGCTCATGTCGGTGGGAGTTGGGCTAAATGCCTCGACGGAGCCTCTACGCTGGAACCAAGGCCCCGTGCCAACAGCACCCTCCGTGGCACTTCGGAGTCGTGCTTCCAGGCGCTTGCAGCGGATCTTCTCCTGGCACATGCCCCGTCCGCACTGCGCGGGATGCATCCCCATCTTCACGTCTGGCCAATTGCAACGCTTGCCGGGCTTGTCCCAAAAAAGAACTTGGGCCGCATGAGTCGCATGATATACAGTCTTGCACAAACTGAATTACAGTACACTTGTCGGATCTTGTAAGAAGCTTCACCATGCTTGACCTCTTCTACATTGCTTCGTCACCAAAGAGTGCATCACCCTTCTCAAAAATGTCCGACTCGACTCGTCTCCTGCTCCAGCTCGGCTGTGACTCGTTTGGCCTCAAGGGGTCGCGTCCGCAACTCTGCCAGCAACATGAACAGACAACCCCTGCAAGGAACCCTGCAAACCTCCGCGTCCCTGCGGGGGGGGTCCGGAAGCTGAAGGCTTGAGGTAAATCATGGGCATATCAACACTTGCAAATGTTTTACAGCCAAGACCTTACGAATTGTCTGTGGGGGGGCCAATGGCACCCTTTTCTTTTGGAACAAGTGCTCGAAAGCCAGACCCTGCTAGGGCACTAGCAGGTCCTACTAGAATTAGAAGGCCATAGTTGATATATAACTATACCAATTATATATAATTATATATACAGCACAGTTGACCTTTCTGGTCCATCTACTACTTGACTTAAAACTGTCTATATTGAGAGGCTTCAGCTCCTTGTAGCTAGTGGCAATTCATTCAATGAATGGCATCACCTGGCTGTTGGTATGTCAACACACTTGAATATAATGGCGCCTCAGCTTCTGCTGCAGCAAGGCGAGCTTGGAGTCCTCACAAGCAGGAACTGGATGACCATCACCCACACTGGGACCAGGATGAGAAATGGAAGGATCATGAGATATCTGGAGGGTCGTTGTCAGTGCCCAAAAACATGGCAAAGAACGACAGGATTTATGGACTCGACTGACTGCACCCATCTCAACTCCATGTGTCCACCGGTCAACGGCCTCAACTGTCAATTCCAGTTGAAAGTGCAGAAAGAAGACGGCGATTGGTCTCTTGGCCTCAGACCTTCCAAGGGCGTGCAGGCATCTTCACAGAGCGCCAACATCCCATCCAGACTCTCAATGGGGATCGTCATGGCTTTCGGCTCGCTACTGGAGAAGCTCACCAGCTTGGCGCCTCACCCGCTTCGCGCGAAGCAGCTTGGCGCAAATCGGTGGCTTCGGTGCTTCGCGGGTCGTCCGGGCCACGAAGATGCAATCGGGTAATGGCAGGGGGTCATAGGTGAACAACATCCGAGTCCAGGTGGGCCAGCTAGGTGAACAGGCCCAATTAGATCAGTGCGTAGGTTTGCGTAGACGATCCAGATAGGGGTCTAGAGAGATCCGAATTACTTAAAAACAGCATCTCTCACCAGGTGGGGTTCCAAATGCTTTTGGAGTGGAGGACCTTTGGAACTCTCCCAAAGCTAGCCTCACCTAGTTGAGAGAGCCGCGACTTCAGCATTGGCGCTTTGTGAGCCTTGGAGGCGAGAGTTGGCCTAACGTCGGTCCATGGCCAAACAGAAGGGCAAGTCGAAAATCAATCTATGTGCGGGTAGAGCCCGACTCTTCGAACTATATACAGTTTGTACATCTATATGCCCTAATCACTTCCAAGTATCGGCCACTTCTACTGCCATTCCCACAAGCCCCCACCAAGAAATATCCGCCCCAAGGGCCCCAAGGGCGGTTCTTTTGCAAAAGGTCTTTCGCACGGTGCAGTTCAGGGCAGCAACGCCAGACCGGCGGAGCTGACCGCTCTTGAAATGTCGTTGCAAACATCACGAGATGTCCGGGCCAGCCCATCCCCCGGAACGTGCCATTCAACACGGCAAACGGGGCGCAACATCTGAGGACTGGGGTACCTTACCGCACCAACTTCACCAGGGATCAAAAGGCAAACATAAGTGAAATGCCTTGGGGGTGACATCATGATTGTCTTGGGCCAACTCGGCAATAACGTTGGCACCTGCCAGTACACCTTGGGTGCAAGGCGGGCGCCATGCTCTTCATCGTGTCAGCCTTTATGACCAAAAAAGGCTGGCCGTCTTGCCAGCAGGGGAGTCCACAAGGGCACGAAATAAAGCTTCAACAGCAGTAGGTCTTGGAACTGAAAGTCCTCGGCGTCTGCTCCGTGAGTGTGTCTCACCCTATGTGACATGAATGTTTCCTTTGAATCAAGGCTTGCTTTCCTCCATGAAGAAAATCGAATTCCTCTGCTCCCTGCTCTTTCATGGGCAAAACGAATTGTGCACCGTATAGAACGTACGCTTGCTTTGTTTCTCTTGCAACTCCCGCCCTTCGGGCCAGAACTGCCATCTTGCTGCGACTATGACTCCAAAGGTTAAACTCCATCTTGAGAGAGAGACAAGAATCTCAATATCATAGCCAAAGGCTCTGTGGAGCTATTTGAACTGCATTCAATTGTTGCTACCAATTCAATTCAATCGTGTCCCGAACAATCTCGCTGCTTCATCTAGCAATTCTGTAGCTATCTAATATGATGTATGATGTAATGTTGAGGGTTGCGGAGTCGGGACAACCCTCACTCCGTGAAACGGTTCACTTGCGTCTTGGCGGGCGGTTCTTCGTGTCAGGGTATATATACAGAGACACGATGTCCACCACTTCGGGATGTTCACCAGAAATCGCCAGCCTGCGCAAGCACCGAGCGAAGACGCACCTTCTTGCGGAGGGCGGTCACCCTCAATCACCTCCGTTGAGGCATAGCGAGTAAGAAGAACTGTTACAGCCCAACACAGCCTTTTGATTCCGCGACCTTGAGCCCTGAACCTGCCTCAATCATTCTTCGAGTTTTTCGAGTCATCGCTGTCTGTAGAAAAGCCGCTGCTGCTGCCTTGGCTGTGCCAAGCACACATCTGTTCGTGGTCTTGTGGATCGTCCGTGCAAGCGCGCAAGCCACGCTCATGATAAATTCACACTACACTCACTCTACACATTTACAGCCGGAAGCTGTTTTGATCTCTCACAAGCTTATGAAATGCCACATCTCCAGGCGGCTGCTTGCTTCGGAGCCCTCTTGCTGAGAAGCCAAGCGCCCACCCTAGCACAATGGGACTCTGGATGGCCAACAAATCGATGAACCACATGCCAAAGAATACTAAGAATGTTGGTGGAAAATCCTGGATATGGAATAATGGATTATTGTAGTTGTCGGGCCACGGTGGGTCTCCAGCACTCAGCTTACGATTTCATGCATTCTGCACGGTCTATCCATCTCAATGCCTCACAGCCCAGTATTCTGCGAAGATCTGCAGAGGGCCCCAACAAGCTACTAGGGGCTCCTGGCATCACTACTAGGAGCAAGGACGCTACTAGGGGCTCCTGGCCGTACTAGCTCACATGGTGACACGTGACCTGATCAAAGGGTGCACCCCATGCGGCGCGGCGCCTCTCCAGCCAGGACAGCAGGGAAGTCATTGGGCACCAAGCCTGTGAGGCTGTCATCCGAGAAGCGGCGCCCCACAAAGCCACTGCCTTGGAAGCGGCACCAAGCCCGGTGAGGAGAACCTGTTCGTTTGGTGCGTTTCATGCCCTGCATTTCATGCCGTCGGTGATCCTGAGATCATGGGTTGGGGTTGCGTGTTGAGGAGTGAGTCGGACCTCAAGACTCTGGAAGGCAATGAATCGGAGTTGTATGGACTGACTTGTCGTCATGTTTTGTTGGCACGACATTGCTCAACTGCAATCCAGGAGCAAGCCTCCTGCCTTGTGATCACAAGAACTACCAATTCCAAGAAACCATATGGTGGTGTCAGACTGATCGAAAGCCTGTTTCCAATCAATATCAATCAATCATTGGCCTTAAAACTCCTGTGCCGTGCGCCATCAGGTCAGGTCACTGGCCCGACGTTGCGCTTGCAGGAACTGACCAAACTTCGTGTTGGTGTTGGTCGCCGGCTCCGCTGGAATCACATCTCCATAGTAGGTCTCGGCCTGGCCAGTGAACCCAAATTCCAGCCGACTCCGGACCCAAAGGGACTCAAAGGACCTCTGGGACCAACCAAGCTTTCGGCCCCAGTCAAACAGCCTCGCGCCTGCCCCATGGCACGAGTCGCCCAGTCGAACAACACTTCTTCCTCGCACCATACGTCCGACAAGGTGTCCGGGTTGTCCCTGGGCACGGCCAAAACGCTCGCCTCCGGCCTCCCCGGCCTCCCCAGCCTTCCCGGCCCCACATCTTTGAATTCTCTAGTAGTAAGGCCAGGAGCCCCTAGTAGCGTCCTTGCTCCTCCTCTTAGACTCTTCCCTGGAGTGAGTCATACCAGCTTGTCATCCACTTCAGCCGAAGCACGAGAAGTGCTTCCAAAACATGTTGGCATACCTTGGACAATCGCACAACCGCAAGATGTGCCCCAATATCGGGCATACTCTTCTACGAGCGCCCATCACAAAGATCCTTCTTCTGCATGTCACGTCTTCGTGTCTGCAACAAAGCGGCTGTCTCACAGGCTTTTCATCCTTGAGTATGCTTTGCAAGCCACCTAGGCAACGGATTCATCCAAACAAAACCGCCTTCTGCATCTTCCTTCCCAGGTCGCTCATAGCCAGGGTTCCTAGGTCTGTCACCCTGGAGGCATCTGAGTTCTGTTTCCTGTGCGCCTGTACGCCATCCATATGCTAAAGCGATGCTGTGGAGGGCACTGGCTGGCGCTGGCCAACTGCCCACCCCTCGCACCTCTACCCTTCCCACCCATTCCGCCCCACCTGCGTCCACAGAGATGAGCTCACAGCCATGGTTGGTGTTTGCCGTGCCGTTGTGCTGCCACTTCACCCACAAGGCAGCCTCCACCAGCCTCCCACCGAGATCGGCCAAGATCACCAGTTGATGCACAAGTGAGAGAAATCGTGAAGCAGACAAACCCCCAAGATGCACCAAGTATTTCTAATTGGTCCAACATTCTGACCGCTGATTCACTCGAAGGTCCGAATGCCGAACAGCGGGGCGGGACGTCCCCGAACCATTTCGCTGCCGAGTGGCCAAGCACCAGAATCCAAGGCGATGGCGGGCTCCTAGGGAGGTAAGACACGTGGATGCACCGCGTGGCAGCAAAAGCATTTCAAATACAGCTGGTGAGTGATTCGGCTAAACTCATCCTAGGTAAAGGTTGACCAGATCAGTTGAGTCGAAACCACCAGCTAAACCACCCGTTCTTCTTGCGTTTCCGAGCTTCGTTGTCACCGCGCTCGTCGGCCAAGTAGTCTAAGATTCCCCCGATGACAAAATACATGTGCGTCGCCTGAGCTCGTCTCATGTTCGTTCGCCGGCCCAAGGGAGACAGAGATAGATGAGCCACCCAAAAGGATGAGGAACCTGCAAAACTTGGAGCAAACTGTGTACCAAGGGACATTCTCTCCAGAAGTGATCAGTTCCTGGGAAGTGCTCAGAGACTTTTCCGCGAGGCAGGTGCTCTGGATCTTCCGGGACTGCATGGAGAAGCAAACGTTGCAAACCTCAGTCATCAAGTCAAGTGGCAGGTCAGGCCCTTCCCTCAACGTGTTTTGGTGCTGTGGGATGGAGTTTTTTTTCCCGCAGACAGGGGCCTCTACTGTCGATGGAAGATCCCGCACCACCTAATCATGCTTTATTACAAAACATGCGTGGTGCTTCCTAGCCTCTGAGGTGCCACTAGGATCACTAAGGCCCATGTGCCCCCATCATGTCCATTCCTGCCATGTGGCACCTGATTCTCCATCTTTCTCCCATCCTCCCTCCGCTGCCGCAGTCCCCAGCTATCCCTGCATCATGGTCACATAGAAGAAGGGGTGAACGGCCAAATGAGGTGCATAGACTTCCTTCAACCAGTGGCAAGGATTCGTAGAAATGTTGGTTGGTAAATTTGGCAACTGATACTTTCTCCTCCCCCCCAAAAAAAGAGGACATCATCCCTTTACAGTCACCTGTTTTGTACAGTCACCTTTTTGAGTCGCGCATTCTTGTGCCCACATTGCATGAAGTTTCGTGGAGTTTCGCCGCCCGGCAGTCGCCCGCTCCTGACTCAGGTCGTGCCGCAGACTCAAGGGTAAGAGCCGCAAGGAAGTGACCTGCATCACCGGTGGGTGAAACCGACGGTTTTCCTCCGAAGAGACGAGGCGCAGCTGGTCCATCAGCTTCTTGGAATTCCCTCTGATTTCGGAACTTTGCCAGGAACCGTTCCAAATTCTCTAAGGCAAATCCTCCTCAATAGAGGTCCAATAGCAAATAACAAATAGATTTGTGCACCCAGATTCTTCCCAGATCTTCAGGTCAGTCAGTGCTGAGGCTCCGGCATCAGATTCGTGCCTCAGGCGGTTCGTGGTTCATGCAAGAGTTGGGCCATCTTCATTCCGCTGATGGTGATCCAACATCTTACAGAAAAGATCAGAAAAGAGACTCCCCTCTGGAGAAAAGAAAGCATGGGGAAACCAGATCTATCCGGGATCTCTCGAAGGGTAGCTCAACGAAAAGACTCCAGTCCCCATCCATTCCTTTTCACTATGAACTTTGGAGTTAGACTCGCGGTGAATCTATAAACATGTGAAGACGTTTTACAATCCGGCGGGTTTTATTTATAAGATACTCATAGATACTCTATATACATTAAGGTTCTGGAGGTGTCGGGACTTCTTACTTCAGCTGGACCCTGCTCTTTTGGGCCGCTATGTTCCTACGCCGCGAGCGCTTCAGAGCTGAAAGCAGCCATCACCTATGTACAGAAATCACCTACATCAAGGACTCTTGATTTGGTGCTGCTACCGCTTCAACCACTCTGCAGGGGACCACTCTGCAGGTGACCATGCATTCCACCCGTTCCACAGGAGTGAAACGCCTCATGAGCCCAAACAAAAGCCCTGCTCAAAAACAGACTCCACCCATACCCCAACTGACTCGTCTCATCACTCAGGAGGCAACGGGCCCTTCGTCTAATGCCTTGGGCCCCTGGGGCCCCCGGCACTCGTGAACGTGTTTGGCTCAAGGCTTTGATGCTCTGAAGAACACGTGCTTTCAATGGAGGAGAGACCTGGACGGCACAGGGCCCGAGCCAAAACACGGTGGGTCTGTGGATCGATTGATAGTTCAACCAGACATGGATTGCGAAACCTCCTCATATGCTGGGTTGATATAGAATCAACCGTCAACAGTAGTGGCGGATTTGCATGTCTGCTCCAATCGCCGCGGGAGGGCCCCTATGATGTAGGAAGGATAGACCGGGTCACCGTGCTTTTTCTCCCGTTGCTAAGATCAAAGAAATGCCTGACGCGCAGCACTGTTGTTGCGCATGCTGTTGACCGTACTCCCCACCAGCATGTCTGCACTCAAGGGAATCAGCATAAGGTTTGTGAGTGGTGCAAAGCTATTGAACCATACAGTTCCCCCATTGCAGTACAAAAATGTGGGACTACTTCCAGGGCTTGCCTGGCGAGATTGTTACATTCTTGGCCCAATGTTCCAACGTCCCCAAAAGCACAACCAGTCATCATGTCATGGCATGTCATGGCCAGGTCCACGCCCAAAACACATGCAGTGCAAAAAGAATGGCTGCATGAGAAGAATGAATCATGGTGAAAAATGATGAATGGATTTGTTTATGAGTCGAGTCATGCCTTCTCTGTCCTTGGCCCAGGTGCATTATTCTGCTGCATGTAGCGTCGCAGAAGTGAGGCTTGCTCGTTACGCTCGCCTGGGCAAACGTCGGGACCCAAAAAGTGACCCAAGTTCAAAGAAGCACTTAGCATTGAGTTTGAGGGCCTGCCGTTCTAAACTTCAAACTCGCCGTAAATGCTTGAACATTGGAGGACCAATACTTTTACTGAGCCAAGTTGCTGTTGAGATTTCGTAGCTGGTTCATGGCATTGGTGATGGCCGAAATGAACGTGGAGAAAATCACCATGGCCGACATGATCACCACCACATTGAAGAGTCGCTCAATCTCATTCCGCGGCGTCACCTGCGCACCGTTTTCGTGGACACACGCGGACTCGTATGCCAAGTCGACAACGGCTGAAACATCAGGGCGACCACCAACTGCGGAAGTCGCCTCCATGGAGGCTGGCGTGAATTGGGTCAAGGACCAGTGAAGGGAGGTAAAATACCTTGGTGCAAGAGCATTGCTTGCTCCTAGGGAATGCCGTATGTTTCCCTCAGACACCTGGCGGCAGCAATGTCACCACTGCTGAAACGAAAGAAGCCTCATCCACGGCTAGACTGGTCGCTTGCTGAAGCGACCAGTGACCAACCAATCTTTGAGCCTGAGTATCTAGAATCTAGTCTAGCATAGTCTAGCCATGTCTGGCCCCAAGCAGGCGTATCCAGGCGATTGGAATATCAGGCTGCTTGTAGGCCAAGTTGTCATTGATGACGCTGGTATGCTCCAACCAATTGAGCTTAGCCTCGGAGATCCCCCAAGTCCTTGGTTGGGTCCCAACGGTCGCCGGTCGCCGGTCGCGAAGCCGCTTCGAACGGGCCGACCGGTCGGCCGCTTCGCTGCCAGGTGTCCCTATCCAAAACCACCCACAGGCCACCAGGTGATTGAGCAGCAAAATGAAGGCAATCCTGAAAGACGCGACGCGACGCGACGCTGAACGAAGTCAATCCTCTGCGACGCTGAACCAAACCATCACCGACCTCTCAACACCCCGAGGGTGTAGCTTTGGGAAGGCGCTTTTCCAACGAGGACACGGCACTGAAAGAACCATTCTCGACATGCGCACGATCCAAGAACACAAGCCATGGGATTCATCCAAACCGCCACTTCGTGAGAGAAAGCAACTTACGGATCGTTGCCAAGCTTCAGTTTCAAAATTCCGATGACGATCACCGAAAACCTCAGTGTGTCAGTGTGTGTGTGTGTGTGTTTGTCGTGTGTGTGTGTGTGTCCGATCCAGGGGATCCTAGACGTTTGATGGAGTCATGGCAATGGATGTTAGGAGTCCACATCCGCCGCCACGGAGAGTTCATGAAGCGACTGAACTGTCTCTCTCTCTCTCTCTCCATTCAGCCGTTTTAGAGGGACACCCGCCCAGTGAAAACAAAATACAGTACTATTGATTATAGTAGGAGGTCATCAAGAACTTGGAGAACGGAGTCATTGAAACTTGATTACAGTAGGAGATTCATTGAAACTGTGTTATCAGTTTTTATCATGGAGTCATCAACTCATCAACCACAGCCCGATCCAAAAGGATCTTGATTGCAAGTGCCGTTCGCAACTGGAAGTGATTCACCATGATTCACCTCTCCACAACCTTATGCCAAGTGGCTCTGACTGGACGTGCTCCAAAAGCTCATTCAGGCGTCCTGCGCTCCATGTCTTCTGCTTACCCTATGAATTTAGACATGAACTGCCTGCATGCACTGCGCACTAACTACAGAGTTTCACACTGAAAACTATTTGCTGGCAACCCCGGTCCGTGGGCTTTCAGCAGCCGTAGCAGCCGCAAGAGTCGCAAGAATCGCACCGCCTCACCGGTGTCGGGTGGGACGAACCGGGGGAAGAAAGCTCCGCTCCCCCGTCGTTCGGCCGAGTCCGGCGGTTCCTTTCCCGAAGGGAGTCCGACGTGGCCTTCCCGATGCGGAAGAAGCTGAGGCCATCCGAACCTCGACTCCCTGAGGTCCATTCGAGAATGTTCAGGGTCCAATCCTCGGAGCGCACGAGGAACCCGCCGAGTTCTTACGCGGTAACCCGATGCGCACGATGTCGGGTCACACGGTGCGCGCGGGGATTGAGAGAAGATGTCACGAAGGCAGGACGAGGACGAAGACTTGGGCGCGCACGATGGCCACGATGGTGATGTCCAGCACAAACCAACTACGTAAATAATTCCAAGCAATCTTTCGCACGCGCATCTCAATGATTCCTTCGTGGCTGCGGGTCTGTTTCGGCGTTTCACTCTAGAAAAGCAACGCGCCAATCCAAGCAGGTGTGGTCTGTTCATCTTCCTTATCATCCCGGTCCTTTATCCTGAACTGCATATCCAACGAGGAAGGACGTCGGCATGTCGAAAGTCCTCGGAGTCGCAAGGGACAGGTGGACTCGAAACGGGCAAATCGAACCCGGTCTCCAGGGCCCACAATCGTCTCCAGGCTCCCAAATTCACCGGTAGAACGACCAAAACTAGAGGGTGATCACTCACCTACATTGCTGAAAGCGCCTCTTGACTAAGGGAGAATGAAGAAAAGCAATCACTGTTTTTTGACCAAGAGACCAGTAGAGAGACGAGACCAAACCCATCACGAAGAAGAAATCCGCTTCGGGGGGCTCAAACACTTGCATCGGCAGCCAGATCATGTCATACACGATGAGGAGCAACCCGAAGAGCTGGCGAAATTGGAGCTTGTAGGCCACATCGGTAAGGAGAAGGGTAAGAAAGGCCGTAGTAAGAAGGGCCACCAGTTTCACATGGTACTGTGCGAGGTATGGTTTTAAAAAAAATCATGGGATCAAACAGAGGTTTCTCAGTGGATCAAAGAAACTATTGTTCTGCGATCCTGTTGTGAGGGGATACCCTCCGCCTAGGTTTGTTTCACTTCGTGTGCGTTTGGCGACAACATTGTTTTGCTGATGTGCAGGAGCTAGTTCATCCTAGTTCTGTGGCTGAGTTGTGTGTTGAAGTACTGCAACCAAGCCAAGGGTTATATTCTCGAGTTTTTTGTGTAAAAGATTCAATGTTTGTTAGCCCGCACCTTTGCAATCCATTGGCAGGGTTTTGGACATGTTTCGTGAAACATCAAGCCCAAAAGCCCACCGACATAGAGCAAGAGTGAGCGCGCTCTTTTGCACGATGGTTGGTTTTACCATCCATGGTCTGTAGTTTAAGTCTCTGACTGGGATGGTACCCAAAACCGCCACCGATCCCAGTCGACAAAACAGGAGAGCCATGGAGGAAAGCAGACACCGGGCACCCTGAAGAAAAACGGGTCCATGGGCGCCGTTGAGGCGGAGAAAGAACATACGGTCCCCACAACCATCACACGCGCCCAGGAGATCAGAGCCAAGGGCGTCTGCCCCCAGTCAAATCTAAGACGGTTGGGGGGCCGAATAAAGATGAGCAGAGTCAGTGTATAGGTCTTCAAAAGGCTAGAAGTCCTCAGGCGTTTTGCCGGGCTAAAGCCTTCTGCGTGGGACGCGTCAATTCATCCGCCCAAAGTATTGAGATCCCTCTTCACATGTGAGGGGGCCAATTTTTTGCTCTCAAGCCGCAACAACGGGGTCATCGGCAACCATCAAGCTTCCGCGTTGATGGTCAAAGTTCCAAGAACGAGACGCACTAGACAACTACAAAGAGGAGTCAAAAGGAATGCTCCAAGAGGAGGGTGTATCCTTTGCACCCTTTTGAAACATTTGACAAAGAGATTCTAAGACATCATTCTCCAAAAAGATTTCGGCGCCTGTGAGGGGGGCCAATCCCTGGGGGAGGGAAAGGACAAGTTGCATCAGGATCGCTGCAGTGGGCATCTTCTGAGTAGATTGGTTCAGCATGGCGAAGACGTTGCCCTGATTGTCGGAGATCAAGGGGATACAGAAATGCAATCGGTTGCGGGCCCCCTTTTCCGTCAGTAAGGGAGCCAAGCATTTCCAACGAAGGAATGTTGGCGCCGGAAGTTGCGTGGAGTTGGAACCACCACACCTCCGCCTTCTCGAGAGGATCTTGGTCGCTGAGCCAGCCAACCACATCGCTCCCCTCATCACCTGCGTTGGCATCGCTAGCTCCCCGCCACGGAGAAGGTTGGCAGTAAGGAGTGGGCTGGACGAAGTGGCCCTCAGGAGGGCCCAGATCAACTTCGCAAAGGTCCTCACCAACTTGTTTGGTCGGCCACTAGGCTTCACTGCGCCCTTCCATTGCCACAACGGTTGGAGGAGAGGCTTCGCCAATGGGCAGGCCCACTGGAGTCTGCCCATGACGCTGTCCAGGTCCTTAGCGGTGAAGATGTCGCCGTTGGCGATACTCAGGAGGATTCCCAGCACCTTGTTGCGTTTCTCTTTTGCCATTTGGAGCCCGAGGGCTGGATCACGAATCCCAACCATGTGCTGATAGGGCCCAATCGAGAGTCTTCTTCTAGCTCAGTGGGGTGCCCAAGGCGAGAAGAGTCGCCAGCAGGGCACAGGCATGTGGAGAGGCCAAGATGGAGCGAAGGAGTGAGCAGAAGTCATCCACAAAGACGAAAGCCCAATCCACCATTGGGAACAAGTAGTACAGGAGTCTCAGGAGCAGTGCAGTTGTGCTGAGGCCATTTATAAGCGCCAGCTCTCTTGACCCACCAGTCTCCATCAATCTGGACGATCTGGTATCGCCAGTCGGTCGGATCAATTTCGATTCTGTGGTGGGGGTTGGCGAAGGTCAGCGCAAGTGTTTCAGAGCCCACGGCATCTGCACCCAAGGAGAGGTCTGGGGGGGATGTCTTGGCTGACGCCTGGAGGCAGTGGAGAGCATGGACACAATCATGACTGTAGGGGCAGTGGTTTTCTGCCTGGTGTTTTGCTGGATCCAAATATTCGCTCCTCCTCACAACCCATCGTAGATAGTGCGTACTTTGTCCCCTTCATCGATGGCTGCCATGGGACCTGGGCACAATTCGTCAACCGTACATCGGCAAACCCGAGCTGCCTCTTCTGGTGTGAAGGGGCCAGCCACCATACCCAACTCCTTTTCCTCCTCAAAAGTGGTCTTGATCGCAGCAGCGAAATCCTCCGCAGAGCTGCAATCAGATCGACCCATGCTGGGTGCAAGATCCTCCACGGTGTCTGGTTTGCCCTTGGGCTGTTCTTTCGTTGGCCATACGCCCGGGGACTGCAGTGTGGGCGTCGAGACGTTCAGGGGACGCCCTGTCGAATCAAGATGGGATACTCCCAATCTGGGTCTTTGGCTTCAAAGGCCAGGGCACTGATAGAAAAATGGTCGTCCTTGCTCACAATGATCCTTGCTGTGTCCCACCAGATGGTTTTCCTCCACCGTCCCGCAATGGTCTGGTGCGGAAACCCACAGACAATTTTGGGTCCGGAGGCCTGGGCTGGGGGCCTTTCCTCGTTTCTTCGGCGCTGGCGGCGCCTCCTCCAAGGGCCTCTTGAGCTGGGGTCGGTTCTCCGTATAGGGGGCGAAGGCATAGTCCACCGGCCGCTCGGGGACAGCATCTCGGAGGGCGATTTGCTGGCTCTGGGGGAAAACCTTGCTGAAGCTCTGGCAACCGGGACTTCCGACTGAACCCATTGTCCAGAGTGAGGGGCAAGACCACTGAACACAACCGTCCTTGTACTCCATGTGCCAGGTCTCTTCCCCCACAGTGATCTGGGTGCCTCGTACCCGCGAGGATACTGGTAGTGGCTCCGCCGTGGACCGACAGAGTGGGCACTTCTTCCATTGCCGGGCGCGGGCAGTGTTGGGGCAGAACAGCTGATGGTCAGGTCGTCAGGTCCGTCTCCTCCAAGAATTTCACAGGACCTCCTGCTGGGCTTGGCTCTTGGCCACAAAGAAGGTTTCCAGGACACGTTCCACCAAGGGCTGGGTGATGTCCCCCGTCTTGAAGTCACCCAAGAGAGAAACCAACTCGTTGACCGTCATCGTGGAGACCGGGTGCGGAGCGACGACTTGATGGGAGGAAACCACACAAAGGCATTCAGCAGCACAGTGGTGTTGGAGCCCGGCATGAACTCCCGCCATTGCACCACCATCCACCGGTACTGCCTTGGAAACTTCAGAGCCAACGGCGTCTGCTTCCGCGGGGTCCGCCATATCGGGGTCTTCCGCTCCCTTGCGCTTCCGTGGGCGAAGAGGAACTTCTGATGGTGCTCCCGGGGTGGGAGGCGTCACCGGGTCAACGTCCATGGGCAGCGAAGCCGGAGCCGCAGGTGTAGAAGAGGACGTGGTCGTGGTAGCCGGCGGTCCTACCTTGGGTGTTCCAGAGCCCACGGCGGCTGCACCCTCAGGAGGGGTCACTCGCAGCTGAGCCATAGCAGCGTCCATCTCCTGCATCTTGGCCTGGAGGGCGTCCTGAGTAAGGAGCTCACACTTGACATAGTGCGGTTCCTCCTGGGTAGCAGAGCTGGCGTCGGCCAGTGCCCTCCAAGATCGTCCCCTCCAGACGCCCAATCTCCTTCTCCCGTTCTTCCACCTCAGTGGGGTCCAGGGTGAACGAAGTCACTGTTGGAGCTTCATCCAACATCTCCCAATCGAAGATGCCTGAACCGGTACAGTAGCGGACATGGCTACAAAGAGTCAAAGAAAAATCACGGGAGTGAGCAGTTCCATTTTCAAGTACCCAGGCTTGAGCCAAAATGGCCAGGCATTTTGGCTAATGAAATGTATTCATGAAACAAAACCTGCTTTGCGCAGGCTCCAAGCACGTACTAAATATAGATGTTCCCATAAATGAAAGTCATGTAACATGTATACTGTATATAGCCAAAAACTAATGTTTAAAGAAGGCCTGATGGTGGCACCCCTTGATGCGTGCAAACACTGGTCAATGGAAATGTGAAAGGGAACTTCTTCGTTACAGACAAACAAATCCCGCATTGGAGGGAGAGTAGAGTCGTGTAGAGTAGAATGTTGACAGAGCAAACTCGAGCACGGCAGAGAATGTTGACCGTCTGTCTTTCATTTGTTGGGCAAGCGAGGAGTCGCTCCCTGAACGCTTGGGGCTTGGCTTGGGGCAGGGCTTGGACGGGGGCCGTCCGAAACCTGGTGACTAAAGGAACAATCAACCAGCAACCACAGAGGATTCATTAAGGGACTAGGGGACCAGGGACAATCAAGCATACCTGCACCAGGCACGCTGTTAATCACAGGAAGTCTGAAAAGTGATTGCTTTTGTTGATTCAGCAATTGTCTTTGTATTAATCTTTAATATTGGGCAAGCTTGCTATTGGAAAACAACTTTTGATACGTCATACGTCATGCGCGCGGATGGCTCGCATCCCCAAACCCCCACCTCATAGGCGATCCGTCTGGGAGAGCTTGGGTTGGAGACGAAACGCCCCAGGCATCCGCGGGCTTGCGGCGGCAAAATACCCTCCTGGCCAAGACAAACCCCCGCGGCGACAGTGGTGGGTGCTGTCCATTGGAGAGTCCCTCTTTCCTCGAATTGAGACTCAGTCAAACGTCTGTCCCACAGCGTGCAACTCTGCAACTCCCAGTCTTGCCAATTCTTGCCTCCTTCAGGCTGTCCGAATCCCCTTCTTTGTTGGCATTCGCGGCCATGTGCCCTGGGTCAAAGACGTTTGAAGGACGGCACTGGCGTCCACAAAACATGTCTCGTGGTAAGGATGTTTTTATTCTTTGGGATGCAGGTGCTGGAAGGTGGCAAATCATATTTTACATGACAAGCTGCGAGGCGTGACTCTTGCAATGATCTCTGCGGTTGGATTCTTGCTCCTCAGCTGGACATAGCAAGTAGAAAGTCATATCAAGCTTTTATGAGCTTTGGAATGCCAATTGATCCAATTGATGGTATGCAAATGCTCTTTTCAACAACTGTCACGGAGGTAAATTTTCGTGGCCAGCAGTAGTGGCACAGAGGGTTTCCGAGGCCCTGTGAGCCCAAAGGAATCACAATTTTTGCCTCTCCACCAGCCCCTCTCGTTCTTCATCCAAAGTCACCAGACCTCAAGGAGCTTGATGTCCTGGAGCACTGGTCTGTGAATCAAATCATGCCGACCGCCAACACCAACTGAATGATAAATATGACAAGCGCGGCTACGGAAATCTTCAATCGTAGCAGCGTCCGATGGAGCAATACGGAAATCACTGACAAAATCCGAATGCTTGGGCTTCTGTGCCATATGACATGTGCTTCATGGATGTACAAGCGCTCCTGCCCCGCAGCCAGAGTCAAGCCGCCCACACCGACTGTAGTGCCTGAGGCGAAATCCTTCAACGTGCCTTCTTCAAGGACACACAGGACACACCACACTTGACCACCCTCCAAAATGGTGCCAACACAACGATCACCCGGCTTAGCACGACTCTGTGGCCGACATGCACTTCCAGCACCGGCCTCGGCGTGCCATGGTCACCACCTGGGCCGCACTCATGCGCCGCCCCGCGGGGCCTCCGGGCGATCTCGGCGGCAGGAGCCCACCGAGCATGGCGCTGTTGCGCCGCCCGGTGCCCGCCACGCCGCCCGGGGGCGGCCAGGGCAAGACGCTGCGCTGGTTCTGCTTGCCTCAGGTCGTGCCGGGCTGGAGGAGGTTTTTCACACACAGGACGAGGGGCACAGCCACCAAGCCGAGTCCCAGCTTTGCGGCCAAGAGGCTCGAACTGCCCATCCCTAGGAGATTCCCGAAGGAAACGATCTTACCCGGAGGGGTGATCGAGCTGGTGGACGGTCTCTGGCTGCTACCTCCGCTGTTGTCCGCGAAGGAGGGTCTCGGGCTAGGGTTAGGCCCATCTGGCAGAGGCACTTCCTCAGCAAGGACACGTGGGCGAGAGAATCCTCCCCTGCTGCGACAGAACCCACCAACAACAAAGCAGCAAGAAACTGCCGCAAACAAAGAGCAGCCATGTGCTTCCTGCACTTGAGCTTGCACAGATCGCAGGAACTGGAGGCAAGGTTCTAAGGTGTTGATTTCCGGCACGCTCACCCGCAGGCTCGACCTGCGCGAAGATGCGCGAAGGGCTCCTACGTCCTACATTCTCCGGTGCATGGAGCAAAGACCAACCTCTCTCGGCTTTTTCGGTGTCTCGTCCCGCCTTCCGGGTCTCTCAGGTGTGGAGGCGGAGGCCAAGGAGGTCTGTGAATGCCGCGAGCTTCGAGAGTTGCGGTTGGGCTTCTTCAGCGCACTCACCAGCTCTTTGCCACTGTCTTGACTGGTCGAGCCTGCCCGGGCGACGACAACGGCGGCCACATCGGCGGCAGGTGACCATTAAGTTCTGAATTGGGTCTGACAAACAATAAAGCGAGTTGGTCGCCAGCCTTGCTTCTGAGAGTGACGCTCACTGCCTCCTGACCCTGCTGGCTTCACATAAATCAGCCTCAGATGGCCACATCACATTCTCCTAGCTGCCTAACCGCTCTTACCTCTGCACGGCAGCATAGTCCTCGATTCGACTTCTAGACTTGGAGCTGCCAAGTGCTTGATCACCAGCCAAACCAGTCCGAACATCCAGCAGAATCCTCCACCCTTCGAACCATCCAGCCCCAGTACCTTCCAAGGAGCCCAGCGTCCTCGCCGCTGTCTGATGTGCCCCACTTTGAGGCCACGCCGGGAAGGGTGAGGGGCGCCGGCCGCGAGGACGAGGCGTTCGGAGAGGTGGACTCTACAAGCAAATCTCCACCGAGAGATTCCACCTGTTTTTCCAAGTCCTGCGGAGTTTCGGCTCGGCGATTCAGCACGCGGGGGGGGGGCGATAGACAGATGGAGGAAGCCATGAGATGAATGGTCTGAAAGGGTGGTTGGGATCATTGGGGTGGTCATGCCCCGTGTCCTCCACCCTCCTCTCGAGCCTGCAATTCTCCTCACAGGGATAGGGCATCAAACAGCCAAACAGCCAACAAACAGCAATCAACAAATGCAAAAGATCGATATGCAACTTGATACTCCAGCGCAGTGTATGTCAGCACCAGCCTCTTTCAGCTTTGCCTTGGAGACACGTTCATTAGCAGGTCAGTGCAGTGTAACTGAAACCTCTATGAGCTCCATCCAGCATTAAGCTCAAAAGCTCTAACCCAGTTGTGAAGACTGCCAAGGCAGGCTGCTATTGCAAGATAAGAAAACACCCTAAAAAGTGAAAGGTTCGGTTTGCCAAGTTGATCCAAGTGGCCCCAGCACTCCACACTTCTCGATCATGTGCTTCGGTCAGCTTGCCAATGAGCTCCCGGAACTCCATGGTGCCACAGCCCCCGCGCCACGTGGCGCGGCCGAGGCGTGGCCGCGGCCACGGCGGAAAACTGTCCCACCGGTGACGGCTCGACCCGGGGCCACAGAGTCCTAACGGTCCAAGCTTATTTGTCTATGTGCATCGTGATGTCCATGATGTCCCGCATAGGCCGCATTTCTGATACATGATGCTCTTCCAGAACCAATGGGAGTGGTGTCTGGTTGCAAACAAAAACCCTCCTCCGTGCCAAGTTGCGATGGTTTTGCCCAATGGCTGCGTGTGCCAAAAACAACGCTTGGCTTCCCAAAGCCGCTCTGCCAAGACTTGGGCAAGAAAACTGCAGAGGGGGACGATGGCTTTCAGAATGCCAAGGCGTTCTGCATTCAACTCTTGGGGACAACTCCAAGCAAACCTGCGAAACTCATGTTGCAACCTCGCACCTTGTTCCGGAGGCTCAGAGGTGCTCCAGTGTCCCCAATGAGGAAAACGGTTCAGAGCTGATGGTTCAACTAGAAGCTGTCCAGCTCACACATCTGTCCATGGATCATCAAGAAGTGGTCTGAATCAGCCAACATGAGCAGCCATGCTCCAAGATTCTCATGGCTATGAGGTCACCTCTGCACGCCAAGCAGCAATCGCCAGGCATGGGGTGCATGCGCGCTGAAGGTCTTTGCTATAGCCCGGTACCGTGATCATGTTGGGCGAGCACGGCCCCTAAGCTGATTGGGGACTTTCTGACCACTCAAATGGGTGCAAAAACACAGCTGGCACCCACGAGTGCCCGCTACGTAGTACCTGCCCCGTACGCGCTAAACGCAGCGGTGCTGCAGTTTTAGTGCGCCAAGCCACGCATACACATCGCCCACAAATACGGCAGTGGTGGCGTAAACGCAACCGCCCTGAGCACAAGTTGAAGCTCTTTCCGCCACATCAACAACCTGCCCACTCTACTTATGGGTTTCCATTGGGCACCCCAAGCGAAAGGTGCCGGCAGGGCCCACGAACTGCCTAAAAAATGCTCCTGGGGCCCTGACTTCGCCCCAGAAGGACATGGCAAATCGAGCAGCTCTCAGAGTCTTCGTCCCAGCCTGAGTCGACTGCGCTGGAAGCGAACCACATGAGCATCCCAACACGCGGGGATCTGAGACATGGAATCTCCCAAATCCCTCCACCTCTTATGGAAGCCCCCAACACAAACACACATCAAACATAGACACCAAGATAAAGTGACAGAAGCTTTGGAAGGCAAGGTTGTGAGCTGTGAGCCTTTGTGTTCACCCGTTTGGGTGTAGTGATCATTTACTGTATGTCTCGCTCTCTTTCTCTCTCTCTCTCTCTCTCTCTGTGGATGAAACCAGAAATGCACCTATGTCTGCGATTGGGCCCGATTGCACGTAAACGCGCGCACGCAACGCTGCTTTGCCCCAGAAGTAAAGTTTCACGTGCATTTTTATGGTATGGCTTTGTGTAACCCACCCCGTATGGTAGGTCGACATCACAAAATTGTCATCGACAATGTTATTGTCATCGGCATCACAACATTGTCATCAACATTGTCATCGACATCACATTGGGCAAAGGCCCCTCGGTATCATCAGTGGGCAACGCCCTCCACGCCGCCCCACGGAGAACCCCACTCTGGAGTTTCTTGGGCTTGTGTTGCTGTTGCAATTGCAAGGCTGCGCGCTCCCGCACATGAGCCTGGCCTTCGCAATTCAACAGGGAGTGGCGCAAGTCTGGTCTTGGGATCCGTTTAAGTTGGATGAACACATGCAGGTGGAGATTTCGGGTGTACAAACAGAGTTGCGCCAACAAACTTGGATTCCGACCGGAAGACTTCTTGGACATTGCAGTGGACAAAGACTGGCTGCATAGCTGAAGCCATAGTGTGCGTGGGAGAAAATGGGCATAAGGGGTCCGTTTTCAAGGGGATTTCGATGGTCGTCGGCACACGTTTACGACCGCGTTGTTTTTTGCAGGTCCAGCCCAGCGGTTGTCTACACATGTAATGCCATACTTGCCGGCTCCTGTGCCTTAGCCAATGTGCTACGTTGCGCAATCCTTTTCCAAGGTTGAATCTATATGATAGAAACGGATTCCCTAAACCAAACATAGTTTCCCCAAGCATACAAATGAACAGAACAGAACTAGCACCTTTGTTGTGCAGCAACCCTGCTTCCTACACATGCCTGTTTGGCGCTTCTATTGCGCGAGATCAAGCATCTGGGGTGCTGCGACCCACGCAAAGCACCAACCTCTCAAAGTTTATGACAAGGACTTCGCTCAAAACCGCTTCAACTTATGAGAGCCATCTTTCTGCACAGTTCCTTTGAAATAAAACATATTTACTTGGCACGCTTTTTACTGAAATCCATTTGCTGTGCCCACATGATGTATTCTACCATTCTACCTAACTTTGCACTGCCAAATTTGTCTATCTAGCATGGTTTAACCTTATCATTTCATTTGCACCCCAAGCCCGGTGTGCAGTCTCATGTGGGACAACGGCCCACCCAAAAATCAATGGAATCTGCGCACGGATGCCTCATGTTGAAGGAACCGGCAAAAGAGAGTTCGCAAGACATTTAACAAAAATCGTTTGTCTCCAACTCTAAGTCCAGCAAGGCAAGGGGTGAAAAATAGATGCTTATGACAAATAGGAATAATTGGAACAAAGAGGGTTTGCAAGTTTTGAGGAACCCCCACTGTGTATGCATGGACTGGACACACGTGCCATTGACGTAGTTGGGCATGTTCAATTGGTAAGCGATGTCAGAACTTGATGCGACACGACTTTGATAACCTGGTTCAGCCTCTTCCTCCAAAGCAGGCAAAGACACCCCACCCTCCTTTCAATTTCTCCCGCAACGGTTTCCAGCCGAGCTGCGCTCGCAGCATGGCACAGCTCCGTAGGCTGTATCCTCGACTACTGAGCTCGTCTCTGAGCGGACGCCCAAGCAGGGAGGTGAGCTGGCCTAGGCAGACATACACTCTGGCTCCCTCGGCCCAGGCAAAAGATTCAAAGAAAAGATTGGTGATGCTCACTGAGGCACTTGAACCAAACAGGACTACGAATGATGCTGCTGCTGCTGCTGCTGCTGCTGCTGCTGCCGCTGCTGCTGCTGCTGCTAACCTATGTTGTCCTATCGCGGAGGTTGTTCGCACCTGGCCAATGGCAATACCCGGATGTGGGTGAAACTTTGAGCATATTACAGTAAAATGTTCCTTGTATGTGTGTTTCCTAGTTTTGTTTCGTTTCGTGTGGGTTTCCCCCACAGCTTTCGTAAGATGGTTTGGGGGCTCACTGTTCACTTTCTGTCGGAAAGCTTGGACTTGGTCTGCGCTCTGCCCCTCATACCTTTGAAGGTGTGAAGATCTACAGCAGCAGCCATTTCGCCCTTCAAGCAATCAATGTAACCGGAAGCAAGGATTCTTTCATGGGAAGCGATGCACCGATGAGGCCTGCCAGTTCCTCCAAAATCGTTAAAGGCCTGCCACTGCCTGTCAGGCCTGCTTAAAGGCCCAAGCTTTTATAGGGCGATTATTTATTCAATTTTATTAATCGTTTGAGTCTACATTAGACCTATACACGTGTTACACGTGAGGCATTTTCGGACTTCCCCGCACTTCCGCCCTCTGACACTGTCCAAAACACCCACCACACACAACTGATGCCGCCCAGCATCGACTGAGCCAAAGCGCCTGGCAATCTCATGAAGATCGCTGGGGCGATCCCCCCCCCCAAAAAAAAAGAGAAACTGAATGCTGAGTCGCAGGCGCGTTGGGTTTTGCGGGAATCTGGTCTTGGGTGGCTGGATTATCCGATTAATCCGATTAACCCTTAAGGTCTCACAAGCTTCACATTGGGTTCTAGCTTTCCAGTCGGTCTTCCAAGAACTCTTGCGAATCCAGGCCTGGCCAGGTGGGTGTCCCCCTCTGCCATGTCCAACTCCTGGGGCGAAGGAGGCCCTCGACCTGGATGTCTTTGGCCTCACAGACCTGAACTACCAGTATCAAATGTTGAAAGAGGCCTACTGCGGCGCCAAACCCCCGAGGGTGTCCGACCTTCGCCGGCAACGCTCCGTGGAGAGAGCCTCTGACCGCGCCGAGCCTCACCCACGGCGTCCGACCGCCCTGCCCCGCTTTGAGCCAGTCCGACGGGTCCGGCGTCCGACGGGTCCGGTCGGCCAGTCAACTCCCGCGAGCCGACTTGAATGAACGGGTGAAACCCAAAAAAGTCAAAAAGAATGCAAAAGAGGTGAAGATGGAAGTCAAAAGCAAACAAGATTGAAGCAATAACGGATCCTGAAGTTCTAAATTCAAAAGTTGCTGGCATGTGTTCTCTGATGATGTTTCAATCATGTTCAATTTCGATGGAGAACCTTGGTGGTTTTCTATCTCCTGCCTCTGCAGGTCTTTGCTCTAGGTCTCTAGGCGTCAGCAAGTAGGATCGGTACATTCACAGGTACGCTGCATCTCTGGCCGCAAAGCCAGCACCACCAGGCCGGTCAGCGGGACGGCCTTTGAGAGGGCCTTCCGAGCAGCTGCACATGGCCTTAGACCCACGACAGTCACAGCACCTGCATGGACTTCGTGATCTGCACACCGGCACCGGCGATGGAACTGCTTGAAAATGTTTTAACACTTCGACCACTCGGGGCGGAGAATGGTCCAATGGTGGTGTTCAGAAGGTCCGATCCCAGACTTAGACGAAGACACGTCACTCTTGAGAAGGATCCGTCAACACGCCTTTTTTTAACCCGCTCCTCTCCTCCTAAATTAAGTAAGGGACTAGTAAGCTACTAGACTAAGTTAGCTTGTAGGTAGGGCGCAGGATAGCTCACGCACTATTCATTTGGTTCCCAGGGAAACTTCGTTCCTCATCTGTGTCACGAAGACTTCAGGTCCGTTCCTTTCCGAGCTAAGATCACGGACCACACCCATTGGCGGCCAGTGTCCTCACAGTGCCGGACGGTGCCACGCGCGGGTCGCGCTAGGAAAAGAACGTGCAGTCCGGAAGTGCTGAGAAGCACCATGGTTTGGTGCGAGTTGAGCTTCACTAGCTTTGATCCTAAAAAACCAAGTTATCACTAATCATCACTTATCCGACGTATCCAGTAATCCATGTCTAGATCCACGTCTCAACCAACTTCCGCGCACGGGAGCTGCAAAAGCTCCGCTTTTCCACTTGCTGTGGTCTTCGCCAGAACAGCTGTCCCGAGCCAGCGCCCCCCATCTGTCGAATCTGTAGGCCTGTCCCTCGGAAATGAGCCATTGCCGTGTGACTAAGGTGCTGGATCTGACCCATCTGTACACCTGAAAACCGTGGATGTGAGGCCATGAAACTGTCAGACCCAGCGGCTTCTGTACGACCTCCTTCAAATGAGGCCCAAAAAAGACCACTACAGGCAGCTACTGCTTTAAACTTACCACCTGCAGCAGACGAACAGCCTGAAACAGGTTCGGGCTGCCTCTAAAACTGGGAACGTCTCTGTTGAAACAGCACGTCCTGCCGAACGTTGAAATCTCAGATCAAACTTCAAGGCGTTAATGCCAGAGGGACTGTGGGAGGCTCCCAATGCGCCGCCAGCGGCTTCCTCAGTGAAACAAGCTTCAAGCTTGATTGGGGCATGCTGGAAACAAGAAATCCAAACCCTTCAAGGCGGGGGTGTACTGTATGCTGTATGTGTATGTGCATATATTTATGTATAGTCATAGTCATTACAAAGGATGTATATAGCTATTTACTGTAGTTCTCCATCCTGCTGTTCTGTAGATGTGTGCACCAATGACCCAACTTTTCTGACCGTCCCCAATGCCTTGTCACGGGTCCGGTGGGTCATAGACCCTCCTGCCCGGCCAGGTCGAGTCAAAGACCTCCATTCGGCCGAGTCATTCGGCGTCCAAGCTGCGGATTCAAGAGATCTGTGAGGATGGCATTCCTGCGTTGAACCTGCGCAGGAATAAGTCACCAGTGAAGCAAGGAAGGCGACACGTCGATCGGTCAAACCCGACGGAAGCCACGGCTGTAAGTGAAGACTTGGTCTTTGGGGTGCCCCCTCGTAACCTTAGGAGCAAGAAGCTACTAGGAGCAAAGCGCATCGCTACTAGGAGCAAGGACGCTACTAGGGGCTCCTGGCCTTACTACTAGGAGCAAGAAGCTACTAGTATGGGGATAAAGCCAAGTGGGAAATGAGGAACCACAAGGCCATAAGGACGGACCTTCAGGGCGGACCAGTCTGTACAGGCTGCCGACCGCGTGCTTTTTCTGCGCACGTCTGTACAGGTTCGGTGCCAGCTTGAGGATGAACCTCACCCCAAGCTACTCTTTTCAACGTGAAACGACGGCCTCTCTTCAAGAAGCTGCCTCTTCAACGAGAAATCCAGCGAACAACTCCAGCAATTGCAACCACATCACACCAGCCCGCTCACAACACTTCAAGTCATGGGCAATGGTCACAAGCATGAAGACCACGGAGGCGCGGATGCTTGGACGGATGGTCCTAGCTTCATGGAAGCCTGGACGAAGTTCCTGCTCCTTTGGAGCAACGAAAATCTATTTGAGGATCTCTCAAAATTGCAAGAAAGGTGGCCGGGAACATCCTGTCCCAGCGACCCCTTACAGGAACCAGAGGTGGGGAAGGCTTCTCCCAAAGGGCCCAAAGCTAACAAAGCCAATTCTGAGGCGCCGAAAGCCCGGAGACGTGGGCCACTGGGTGCGCTCACCGATCTGGAGACCCTGGTAGGTCCGGTGCCTGGACAAGCGGGTGCCGCAAAATCCATGTCTTCCCATGGACTATGGACGGCTCCGACATCGCACGAATGCACAGGAAAATGCACCACATTGAATTCATCGAAGAACATCCCGCACATGGACCAAATGCATCCCAATGCACCAGCTTCATCCCTTGATTCATCCCCTTTCACGCCTTCTGCACCACTAGCCTTGGCACTATCCTTGGCGCTGATGCCATCGGCGAAGACTTGCGAAAGCCGATGGCGCTGTCTCGCAGACTCGGTCGCGACAGGTGTGCGCCGACATGGAGGAATGCCCATGTGACCATCGACTCGTGTAGTAGTGACTAGATGTTTCTAGTTACCCAAAAACGGCCAACTCAGCTAGCAACTAAGCATGTTATATCATGGTATCAGTTGAATTCATTTATGTAAAAAGGAGTTTTCGGACTGATCATGACTGATCCTTCTGCCGCTGAGGTGCACTTCAAGACTCTCACCGGAAAAGCTCTTTTCCACGCCCGACTGATCGTCATTCTCGTCGCCCATGCTCTCAACATCCATGGACTCCTGAAAGATTTCGCGTTCCCCAGGTTGGAAGAAAGGACCCCATTTTGACCCGGGCCTTTTGAGGCGAGCAAGCTTCCCCTTAAACAGCCCATTCTTATCCGCTCTTGCTGCCTTGTCCCCCACCTACCGGGCCCGGAGGCTCCGGCCTGGACCTCCGTCGTCGACGCCCGGAGGATGGATTGCGGCGCGGCCGCGGGGACCGCACCAGGGCCAGCGGCGGGCGGGGCGGACCCGGCGCCCGCTTCGCCCGGCTCGCGCGCGCAGCCCAACTTCTGCATGACCTCGGCGAGCCTCAGTGCGGTGCGAAGAGTGCGCACCACCCGGGTGGCCACCAGAGATATAGATGGAGTTAAGCAATGAAATTGGATTGGTGCAGATGTTGGTGATGTCGCCTAGATTTGGGACGCTGGGGTTGGTTGGTCCACAAGTCATTTTCTGACATATTGAACACCAAGCACTTGCTTAAAGACTGCGTTCCGCAGCATCTCAAATGAGCCAGGATTGTGCACCGTGAGCCTCAACTACTGTTCATCTCCGATGTCTCGGATATCCTTTGCAAATGTGGCATGTCACTGTTTGGCATCACTTCCCCCAAGGTTCCCGCCCCCCTTGTCGTCACCATTGATGTCACCATCTGGGCATCGGGCATCGACATGTTCCTCTTCAGGAGAGCTGTATGTAGGTCAACTGCTTGCCTTAACACGGTCCGACTTGCTCGTGACCATGACCAGGTCAAATGCCCAAACGCCCGCTTCTGGGGGCCTTTGTGCGGAAGTTGGCCCAATTGCAGCTGGAGAACATACAACACGCCCAAAATTGCTTGACAAACAAACCCTGAGCAGACATACTTAAGGCCAAGTCATTGAGAACCTGTCAAATGACAGATTGGGGAGGACTCATTCCCCTGGCAAAGCCCCATTGGCTCTTCATTCATGTTCTTGAGGATTTGTTTATCGATCTTTTATGCCCCCAATTGGTGCTGTTGCGCTTGCTAGGCTCATTTCGTTGAGCCCGCCACCACCTTGGCACCCTTACAAGGCCTCAGTCACACTCCTCCATGGCAATGCTCACAGCGTCGTATCACCGCCTTCCCGACCAAGAGTTGCGGCATAGGACGTCAGGTGAGAACGCATGTAGGACCAGGAACCGGCCAGCCCATTGCCATCTCCAAGTTGCTCCACTTTGGTCACCCGTTTTGAAATGGAGGTGACGCCCAGCTGCATGGTCTTCATATCCTCACGGCGCGCGGTGACGCGCATATCAATGAAAGGCAGTGCCATTTGATCGCCAATGCCAAGGTGCCAATTGCGTGGGAGGCCCCTTCACTCTCAAAACACCTGCCAAGTTCGAAGAGCCAGGCACGCCAATGCCCGCCCATGATCATCTACTAGGCTTAGTATATACAGTACACCTTTTGCAGATCCACTAGCACGCCTACAAAACGGTGGAACGACTTGGGGGGCCGTTGCTTGGGAGCCCGCCCTCTTAGACGTCCCCTGGACCGTCCATGGTGTCTCAGTGTTTCGCTCCACGACGGGACGCTCCGGCCTTGTGCAAAGGTGGGGAAGCTCAGCGAGTCGTTCCCCTGGGACGGCACGGTCGGCACAGGCGGACCCGGGTTTCCCCCCCCCCCCGCGGTTCGGCGCGCATGGCGCATGAACACGTCGCCACATTGGGCCACTTTGGTCCACTTCGCCAGTGAAGTAAAAAGTGTATCTTTATGAAGCATGCAGCACGTCCAGATGGTAGATCAAAGAGATTTGGACCTTTAGACGGATCGAATCCTGATTAGAAATGGTGATTCGATTTCTGCAGCATCACCCACACATCAAGCGCTCGGCACTGGCACGGGACACACATGCCTGTGGGTCTAGGATTTCAAACAGCGCCCCTGGATCGTCGATGGGTATCTCCATGCCTCGAATCCCAGTGACACCTGGACCTACCTCTTCAGAGGATTTGCATAGGTTTGCCCTACAGTGTGCGATGCCCCAAACTACAATAGCCACACAGGATTAGAAAAGATATGCAGCATAATTACACCATACAAATCTGTCAGACACCCCAAAGACTGCTGATGTCTCCTTCAATCTGCGCGGCCTCATTCCGTCATGTTAAGCCAAGTGGCGCGTGAGTGTCGCCTGCACTACGGGGTCGTTCAAAATATCGATGAACTCGGTCTTCTCCAATGTTCCACTGCCATCCTCGGATATTTATGTGCTGTGCTGTGCAGGTTGGGTGGCCAGCGTAGAAAGAACCAGAGAAAAAGGGTTGAATTGCAAGATCTGGACCCTTCGTTCATTATTGCCGTGCTTGCAAGATCTGGTAACTACCCAAGGTTCCGCATCCGCCTCCTCAAAAAGCCTCCGGATGCTTTCAAGCTCCTGACCAACAACCCACTGCCGCTACAACATGCTACAACCCTCTTCCTGTGCATCATCTTCTTTTGTGCCACACCCGGGCCTGGCGCAGTTGCCGTTGCATCCGCCGCTCCTTCAACGGTGCCCACGGGAGCGGGTCGAGTGACTATGCTGGAGCAGACCGATCGGTTGAACAAAGTCGCCCGGCTTTCGGCCTGCAACTCTTGATTCTGCTTGGCCGCATTGAGGGTGTTCTCCACAATGACACCTGTCGGTCTGGAGTCATCTTTGAGGTGTGTTTTTTCTTGTCATGATGACACCGGCTTTGGCCAGGCCTACAATGATGTTGAGGATGCCAAAGGTGGTCAGAAAAAGGAAGAGCCTCACCGGGGCGAGCATGCGAAACATCCGATCCCACGGGTCGTGCTGTTTCGACTCCCTGCAGCCCAGCCACAGGAAGAAAATTAAAAAGGCCGGCTGTTTCCGGACAATTGGGCGGGCAAAGACCTGCACGATAGACGGAGACGGTCTGTAGCAAAGGCTCACAGAAAGCAGAAGAGCCTTGCCTGACTCCAAGACTCCAGCCTCAGCACGGCTTTTCTTCGAAGCGACGATCGCAACTCCAGACAGGGAACCTCGAACATGGAAGGCACCTAACTCCAGTAGATACCGTCTACACCAGCTGGAAACACCCAGGAAACATGGACCACTTGCAGAGTGAGGTGAGCCAATTAATTCACCCCGACACCATCCCAATGCAAGGCACGTGATGACTTGAAACATCGTGTACATCCTCAGCAAGGCACACAAAACTCTCCGCCTATAGAAACCTAATCTAGCAGTGAGTGGCACACGCATCAAACAAACAGGCTCCACGCGACTGTTTGGGACGTGTAGCGTGCTGGCCAAGAAAGTGTTGGGCCCAATCAAATTCAGTCAGTCGTTTTGGTCTCAACCGAGCATCGCTGCAGGCATGCTTCCAAAATATTCTTCACACTCCTGGGTCCAACCGGGTGCGATGACGAGACACGTGTCGGACTCTCGACGGCAAGTCTTAGGCAAAGTGAGGCCAAGTGATGGCAAGTGGCATTCCAGTCTTCGAACTGGCTGGAGAGGCAATTCAAGGTGTATCGAAGGAAGATCGCAAACCTCAAGGGAGCCGTGTTCATGAAACCTGGAAAATACATTGAGAGTCTTTCGGATGGTTGGCTCATCATCGCCAGTTGGTGGCTGTAAAAAAATGTTTTGACAGAGTCGTTGTGCCAATGTAAGTCGACCCCAGGTCTACAAAGAAAGGGTTTTGTCGTGACCGGTCGTTGTGACTATGTGACCCCCCGAACTTCTGCGTCTTCGTCCGTCTTCGGCACGCTCGTGCGAGACGTCTTGAACGTCCACATCCAAGCAGCACATAGATCACCACTGTAAGCAGCATTATCACCTTGACCGCGGTGGACTAAGGGGTCAAGGATGTAGAACGGTCAGACGACCGCTGAAAACATGGACCAAACTGCTCGGGGGCTCATGAAGAACAGGCGACCCGCACGCAGGTCCTGGAGTCCTGGACTGCCGCATCCAAGGCACCCAAAAAAGTGTGCTCAATGATTCCCTGAAGCCCACGATGATGAGCCACAAATTCTTGAAAAGTTTCCTCAGCACCACACCGTTCAAACAGGCCGAACGACCTTCCAGAAAATTCCACAGGTCAGGGCAGGGCGTTTTTGTTGCCACCCAACGGCTGTACCAATTGCTTTCAATGAAACCGCCGGTTGCCGGCTTCAACACCAATACTTAATTCAATATTGAAATGCAAAGTCCGACCTCACCGCTATTTTTTGATCTCTCTCTCCCTCCCTCCCTCCGTCCCTCCCTCCCTCGTCATCAGCGTTCAATATCATGCTGAGTGTCATCAAACGGATGAGCCGAAGCAGCCGCAGCATCCGCATGATCCTCACCTCAGATCTGGCTGCCCGCTCAAGCCACGAGGAACCAGGTCTGTAGATTCGAGCTCATGCCCGAATCACGCACATTTGACCTGTGAAGGCAAATGAGCAGCCGCCAACAAAAAACGTCGGGTTATCGCTCCTGGAAATCCCGACCGCTCTTTACGAAATTAGTCATGGCACGTTTTGGCGGTTGCTCATATATACCGGTGTACATAATTCGTGACCAAACGAAAGCCACTTTTCCGTAAAAACCGTGCATTACAAAGCCTCTGATGCTTCAAAAAGAAGAAGCAGCGTCCGTCGTCCCAGTCTGTGGTCCTCGGCAACGGCCCACGCACGTCGCGTGTCCGGCCGGGCGGCGATGCGGATGACGCCCAGGCCGCTGGGTCCGCCGGTGGAGGGGAGCAGAAAGGGGATGATCCACGCTTCGGCGATGGCCAGCAGGACCAAGGCGAAGTCCAAGAGCTGAGAGGTTCGTCATGCGAGTCACGTGAAGGAGTCGATTCGGAGGGGAGAAGAAAAGGAGACACGGAAGGAATCACATGAGATGGGCAAAAAAATTGATGTGACATGTTGGTGGAGCAGAATTAGAGAACAAAGGTCCTTAAAAGTGCGTTGATGCCTTTCCCGCTCTGAGAGTTATCTTATATATATATTACAATATATTACAATATCCCTGTCAAATGGGACCAATGTCTTCTGATGCAACTGTGTTCAATCTGCTGACCACCAATAACCCGACACACCCGGAATATCCCAGTCCATTTGCCTCCCCTTGGACAGCTCCCGCTCTCGGCTAGCTGAGGCTCTGACATTGAAAGGGCTCCAAAAGTACTCTAACCTCAAAGCCCGCAACTTCAGCAGCATCTCAGTGATCCACAAGATGCAGAAGAAGTTCTCCACAATGATCCATCCAATGTCCCCTGTCTTGGCCAAGTCAACTTCAAAGCCCATCAGCACCGCATTGATGGCGATCATCACGCCGATGCCCGACTCAAACTCCTTCACCCGGGGAGACCGAGGGAAACCGCCAAGGGGAGTTTCCTTCTGGAGGTATCATCCTAGCACTGGGACGCTTAGCCATCTATCAACACCCGTCTCTCTGAGAACCTGAACAGGGCACCAGCAACAGCTACGGAAATCTCGTAACGAACAGACGGATGTATCTTTAAACAAGCCTGCAGTGCCGCACAGTCTGAATCTACAGGACATGGTCACCCAGGCTCAAAACATGTCACCAAGTGTCTCAAGACAAGAGGTCCAAGGGAGGTGATCTTTCTCTCTACGTTTTTTTCAACATACTCTGGATGTGACAGGTGGCAACTGCTGCACGCTACACGTCTCTACCCAAAGAAGTCCGGCATTTGGTTTCGTACAAATTGACTTGTAAAATACAGTTTGGAGGAGACCTCCCGGTAGGTCAATTTGAACAAATCCTAATTCTGGACATTCTCTAGACTCTTCGGCGCTGGGGCACTCATCGGCATGCCAACTCGAATCCCACATGGAACCGGAGAGTGGGAAATGCCGGTAGCCCCGCCTCACGCACACACAAAAATTGAGAAAAATGTACATGCATTCGACCAGATCCCAACCCTCACTGGCGCTCCGTCGTCTCCACTAACTGGACTCTGGGCGTAACTTCCTCCTCTTCGGTCTTGATATCAGCGACTCCTGGCGCTGCGTGGAGGCCTAATGGTGGTGGTTGCATAGGTCTAGTTGCTGGTTGCAGTCAAGAAACTGAACAGCATTCACAGGCAAAATCGCTGATCTCATAATTTAGGGGACTTTCAACATGCAGGCGCTTCCTCATGCGAAATGATCCACAGAAAAAGTATGAAAAAGTTGTATGTGACAAGTACTTTACTTGGTCCATCCTTGATGTTCAGGTTTCGTTCATCCAAAGAAGCGGGAGGCTTTGGTGGAGCAATGAAACAGTTCAACATTCGCAAGTTGTTTTTTGTCACTGCGCTATGAACCACCGAGCTCAAAAATGGAGCCTTCTGCTCAAAAAGTCGCAGATCGAACAACGAGAAGAGGTCCTTGCTCTTGCAGAATCTCCTGAAACTCATCATCTGCAACTTCTCGTTTGCTGGAATAGACCGAGACCGCCTGAGCGTGCTGTGAATCAGCGTGAAAAAACCGCCGAACAGCCCAACAGTGCACCGGCCTTGGAGACTTGCTTCTCCCGCCAGTCGTCATCCCCAACGAACGACTGAACCTGCCAAAGAAGTGGGTGCAAAGGACATGCAAAATCGGATGATCCACGTGGTCCAGTGGCAAGACTTTGCAAACGTGCTGTGATTTCCATGCTCGGCTTTGCGCAAGCACTTCTTCTTCCTCTTCCTGTTCCTCTTCCTCTTCCTCTTCCTCTTGTTTTTTTCTCTTCTTCTTCTTCTTGAAGCCGTAACGCTGTTTGGTGCTGTGGGCATGCAAAGGGCCAAATCAAATCAATGTGACTTCATAAACCACCACACACACACACACATATATATATATAGAAATGAGCACTGATGTGAATGCGGTGCCACACGCCGGCCTGAGAGAAAAACCTGAGATACCAGGAGGACAAGTAGTAAGTTAAAGGCCATCGCTTTTAGGTTGGAAGCCATTGCAAGAAAGTTGGAGGCCAGCGCCTAAGGTTGGAGGCCGTCGCTAGTAGGTGGTAGGTAGTACGCACAAGTAAAACAAAAGTGACAAGTAGTAAGTTAAAGGCCATCGCTTTTTGCTTGGGGGCCGTCGCAAGGAAGTTGGGGGCCAACGCCTAAGGTTGGCGGCCGTCGCTAGTAGGTGGTAGGTAGTATGCACAAGCAAAAAAATAATTACAAGTAGTAAGTTAAAGGCCACAGCTTTTTGGTTGGAGGCCATCGCAAGGAAGTTGGAGGCCAACGCCTAAGGTTGGAGGCCGTCGCTAGTAGGTAGTAAGTAGTATGCACAAGCAAAACAAGCAAAACAAAAGTGACAGCGAGCAGCTGTTCAAAAGTTTACAAGTTTAACCAGCAGGTACGGAAGTTTGCGTCCAAACTTCCATCCAGTCGGTTTCCATAGGAAATCGACCGTCACGCCCTGCTGTAAAGGGAGACATTCCCACACCCCCATCCTGCCCGGAAAGGGGGTTATGCGAAGCACATGTGCAAGCAAAGGAGGCAGATGAAATGAGAAAGACGAGACAGACAAAAAGTGTGTGTGGTTGCCGATGAAGAAGAACCCAGTGAAGAGGGACAACCGATGAGCCAAACCTCATTGTAACAAGCCTGGGCCACCTGAACCTAGTTGTAAGTAGAATACACGTGCGTGTATGTGTGCAAGCTAAGGTCCGGACGAAAGTGCGCACAAGAGAAAGAAAAGGATGAGGATGAAGAGGCGTGAAAAACCTGTTGCAAAAGCATGGTTTGCTTGTAAGTACGCTACGCAGGAGAGAAGAGGGGGAAAAAAGAAAAGGAGAGAAAGGAAGAAACAAAGGCCCCGACAGGTTCCAATGAACCTTCAACTTGCTTTGACCGCTCTGGTCACCTTGTGCCATGCCAAAATGGCGGGCGACTTGAGACCGCTGTGGTCACCTAAAGGCATGCCAAAATGGCGGCCAGCTTGGAATTCAATAATCCGTCAAATCTTGGCAAATGACTTTGGCCTAGGCCACCTACGCTCGCTGCGAGCTGCTTTGTATCCGGGCATGGGGTACGTTCAAAAAACCCCCCTTCGACGGGTCCACAGGGGCCACTCTTCGGGGCACCCTGGGCTGGCATGAAGCCAGACACATTTGTAGAAATCCGTACTGGTGCGAGTGCGGTGCCACACACCGGCCAGAGTTAAAAAACCTGAGATACCAGGAGGACAAGTAGCAAGTTAAAGGCCATCGCTTTTAGGTTGGAGGCCATTGCAAGGAAGTTGGGGGCCAGCGCCTAAGGTTGGAAGCCGTCGCTAGTAGGTGGTAGGTAGTATGCACAAGTAAAGCAAAAGTGACAAGTAGTAAGTTAAAGGCCATCGCTTTTAGGTTGGAGGCCATTGCGAGAAAGTTGGAGGCCAGCGCCTAAGGTTCGAGGCCGTCGCTAGTAGGTGGTAGGTAGTATGCACAAGTAAAACAAAACTGACAAGTAGTAAGTTAAAGGCCATCGCTTTTTGGTTGGAGGCCATCGCAGGAAGTTGGGGGCCAGCCCTAAGGTTGGAGGCCGTCACTAGTAGGTGGTAGGTTGTATGCACAAGCAAAACAAAAGTGACAAGTAGTAAGTTAAAGGCCATCGCTTTTTGGTTGGAGGCCATCGCAAGGAAGTTGGAGGCCACCGCGTAAGGTTGGAGGCCGTCGCTAGTAGGTGGTAGGTAGTATGCACAAGCAAAACAAGCAAAACAATAGTGACAGCGAGCAGCTGTTCAAAAGTTTAAAAGTTTAACCAGCAGGCACGGAAGTTTGCGTCCAAACTTCCATCCAGTCAGTTTCCATAGCTTCATTGGCGTGACTAGGAAATCGACCGTCACGCCCCCTGCTGTAAAGGGAGACATTCCAAAAGTAACCTTGTGACTCCAAAGGTTACACACACACACATTGCAAGCTCAGGTGAAACAACAGGTGAGCTTTGAAGCTGCAAGTGAAAGGTGCTGTCTAGGCTTTAAACGCTCTTGATTGTGCCAGCGATTCAAAGCTGGATAGTCAAATTTGGTACCAAACAGCGTTTCTGTTACAGTATATCATTGGTAGGTACCGAGGAGGTCCATATATGATTACAGATCATGTCATATCGTATGTCATATATCGTATGTCATATACCGTATGTACTTTTTAAGCCACCGGGCCACCGTTAATCACCTTCCTCTGGTCGAAAACCTCCTGCCTTGGCTCCCTGGTCAGATGCCCTGAAGCTCCGAGTGGAGAACGCGGAGCTCGGGCGGCTGGGGCTACTGGGAGTGGCCACCGTCAGCGAAACCACCTGGCGGGGCTCGTGAGCTTTGTGTCGGTGAGCGCTTTGTGCAACAAAGTCTGCATTTGTTCACTTAGTAATTCAATGGGAGAATTTCACTAGCCTGTGCTGTGCAAAAAGCACAACCAATAATATTGGATGATTCCGATGACCGCGCGAAGCTACGTTCAATAGATAGAATTGGGCCAAACCCTACGGTGCTCGAAAACCATACCAACAAGATGAACACCTGAGCTTCATTCCTTTCAGGACAAGTCTTGGTGAGACCCCCGCATCCATCCAAGGTCGCAAGTTTACAGGTCTTGAATGGGCCTAGCTGCAGCAACTGGTGTGACACAAGTAGATCTGTGGGTGGGTCTTCCAAAACACATATGCCCAAAGTCGACGTTCCCAGCCTTCGGTGTTTCTGCCTCCTGTCGGCGCGCCCTGGGCCGTGTCGGCGCAGCATTTCGCAACCCCAAGACGTTGGAAATCGCCCAACTCTTTTTGAAGCCACTGTCTGTCATGTCATACATAATGCCAACGTTACTTGTTCACTCACCGAGAAGTCAGAGAGTGAACTCGTCGGCCCGGACCAACGTCCGAGGCGCATCACTGCCGCCACAGCCATCTTTTTGATGGGGCCACATCCTCAGCGGGTGATCTTCAGTTGAACCCCAGGCAAACTGGCTCCATCAACACAACGAGAAGCAGCGGTGTCAACATCCTTGATATGAAGTAGCGGTAATGCGACCCTCTTTTCATGATGGTTCATGCAAACAGCTCGGTCGGGTGGAAACAACTGTGTCTTCCATTCCGTCAGTGGCATTTGTGCATCTCAGTGGCAGCTTGGCACAAGCATCTTTTCCATTTGCGTCCACTGAGCCATGAAGCGGAACCGGGTGAAGGCACGAACGCAGCATGCAGCGGCACGACCGCAGCTCCAAAGGAGATTGGGTCGTTCGAAGATTCAATCCCCCCACAAAGCTTCCACTTCCATCCCCTCCAATGATCCTCCCATCTCCCAAACCCTCCCATCCAAACCTTCATGGTCCTCTCCCCGCCTTCCCCTCGCCATGGAACTGCAGCACTGCCTCGGTCGCCTGGCAGACCCCCAGCGCGGTGGGCTCAAAGCCCATGGAAGCCACCAAGGGGACCTGAAGCGCGGTGAGCTCAACGCTGGGAGCGACCGTCGAGGTTCGTCGCTCGCTCGGGTGTTCCGTCCTTTCCGTCGTCCTTTCAGTCGTCCTCGTGATCGGTGTTTTGGGGGGAGGCGGGGGCGCCAAGCGGCGACGCAGGCGCCTTGGTTTTTCAGAGCCGCTTATTGTCGGTTTTGGGGACTCTCCGCCCAACACCTGGGCGAACGTGACCCAGGATACATGCAAAGTTATGACGAAAAAGAAAACCTCAATGTCACATGTTGGAGGTAGCCACTGGCGCTGGCCCTGAACATTCGCCGAAGAAGTTCACGGAAGACCACGCCAAGACACCTGAACATCAAGGCCTTAGACCCAACGCGCTTCCCGACGGCCCCAACGTCTCGTGACGTGCTGGTTGGCAAGCCGGGAATCGTGGAATAGAGCCACTAGCACAGACCATTCAACGGCACATGTTCATGTCGAGTTCCCATGACTCCCGGCCACTGCAGTGTCTGGTCATCAAGTGTGTGGTAACTTCGTACTTCGAAACTAAGCACATTGGAACAGCAGGATCTAAGAACCTCTCGGCAAGAACCGCCAAAAACAACACGGTGCTCCCTCCAAGCGACAGAGTTGCTGGCGCAAATGAGCGTGTTCCTCTGGTGGTGCTGATTCCAAGATCTTCCACAGTTGGTTCCTGAGTTCGTCCAAGTTCTGGCAAATCTGCCTCGAAGTCGGAGTGGCCCCCTAACGAATCAGTCTAAGGTGCTGAAACTCGGGCTTGGAGTATGCAGCAATCTCCGCTTCCTGCGCCAGTCACTCTGAAGCGTCGACCCGAACCCAAACCCACTCACACACCCAAACCCACACACACGCACCCAAAACTGACCTCGAAATGACAAGAACCCCCAAGAGGGGGTGTTGGCTCCGCTCATTCACCATCCTTCATTCAACCCATATACCCCGGACCCACCTGCATCTCCACGACCTGTTCCAAGGACAAAGCAGGTGGCGCTATGACATTCGAGGCGACGGCAGCCTGCCACATCGTGTGAAGCATCCCACGTCCCTATGGAAGGTATTGACGAGCTCAACGACGTCAACAACTCTGTCGGCTCTAGACTCTAGAAGGGAATAAGCCCTTAAACTCTAACAGTCAACTTGTTGAAAGCCTAGTTGGCATCATTTGTGCACAGGATCCATTGCAACCAGTGCAAGGTGGGCGCAGGGTGACCAAACTCCGAGCTTCTGTCTGCGAAATCCAACTGGTTGGCCAGTGACAGAACACAAATTCCTGCAAACTGTTGACTGCTTGAAAATCACTCCAACCAATTGACCCGGTGCAACAGTCCCATCATCTCGCCCCGGTTTTTCGTGGGTTTAAACACGCCCGTTTTCGTTCTGGCGGCATCCTCAGGGTGAACGAACGTTCGTGGATGGCGGGCGGGCTCCGGCTGCCAGCCTGCACGGCCGAGTCATGCGTCTCGAGTGATAAGCTCCACATGGCCTAGGCTACCGAGCTGGCTCGGCCCCCCACTACTGCTTGGCATCGAAAGCGGGGGGGTGCTAGAATCAAAGGCCAAAACAAACTCTACAAACTTGGCAAAACATGTGATTATTGGCGTTGATGTTTACGGACCAATGTCGGCGACACGCTTCAGTGCATGTTCATCACTTGCCGGTCATCCCCTCACGCAGCAGCGGAACCACTTGCCCCCCACCCTGGAGAGAATGGAGGTTGTCCAGTCCCCTCTCCTGTCCTGAGATGGTCATCATGCCTCAGCCAATGGCGATCAATCTGGACTAATTATCTATATCTATATTAATGCATAGGCCATTTGTGACATTGCGGAGCCGATCCGAGTGGCTGTGCCCCATCCATCCATCCGTCTGGGGCCAAAGACCTGCTGGAGACCGTTGGGACAAAAGCCGCAGTGCCACGAGGGGTCTGAGCCAAGCCGCTTGCAGGAGCCGAGCCGCGGCATCTGATCAACGCATGTGAAAAAAAAAAAACAACGCGCCTCGGTGCCCCCACAGTAGTACATGCACAGCAAACCAGACGGGTGGGAGAAGTCAAGCGTCACTTGGAAGAACCAGAAGCCGAAGGACGTTTCAGAACCCTGACGCCTCTGAGGTCCCAACCTTGTCAAGCTTCACCTTGGGGAAGCATTCCACTCTCATGCTCCATGCATGGAACCACGCGAAGACCGGTGTCGTTCCACATGTGAAGACCCGGGTCGTTCCACTCACCCAGGACCTGCCCGGGAACCTACACCCGGAAGACAACGGCCACTGGGAGACTCCCTCCTGCCCCTTTTTTCTTACCTGCAGCGCTGGACGAACGGTGCAGCGTTGAAAACTGCCGTTTCGGACGGTGCAGGAAGAACGCACACTGCGAGCATGGCCTCTGTTTGAGGGCCTTTCCCTCAAGGCCACAAGGGTGTTTGAAACCCAAGTGTCGGCCCGGGTACAAGAGAAATAGTCCGCGTCGGGGGGGCATTTAGTGAGCTACTGGTAGGTGGCCAAAAGGCCTACGAAAAAGTCTAGGTGGAGGTGGCCAAAAGGGCTTCTTCGAAAACGACCAAGGAGAACACTTCTCCATTCCATCTCGGCAAATGCCTTCTTCAGGGCCAACTCCTGGAGCAGCGAAACATCCCCCAATCTCTGGGGCGCACAGTATGTATAAGCTTTGCTGTGCTGGTGAGAATGCGCCATCCAGGTGCAGCGAAAACCTTTCATCCCGATCTCTCTGAACCTGTTCTTTTTCGACGGCACCCGTGCGCACGTTCGGAGGGTGAGGCAAGATCAAGCCCGGAGGCTTGGCTAAGTCGTGCTGACAGCAAGCGGCAAGAGTAGCAAGAGGCCTGGTCGGCCTGGCTAATTTTGCCACCAACCTCTTTGATCAAGGCGTGAGGCGTCAGCCAGGTGTCTCTGATGGCGTGAGGTGCTGTTCTACCAAGCCAGGTGTCTCTTGCATTGAAACCTGCGGCCAGTCCAAGGTTGCCTGCTTCTGAGGATGCCAGGCGAAGCAACCTGTTGGGAGTCAACAGAACAATTCATGAAGTGATTGCACTTGATGGCACTTTAACAACTCACCAAAAGGGAAAAAGAAAAAGCTACTACGTAGACTACGTACAGCCATTCTAGGTCCGCTCGGCTAGAGAGGCCGCCAAGCTGATGATGCAACAGTTTGCTTCTCCGCAGGACGGGCTCCTCTTTGGTGAGACAAAGGTGCGGACCTTTGTCATCAGCCAGTGCTCACACTCACTTCGCCCACGGAACACGGCTGGGCTCCACTCGAAAGCCATTGACCTTCAGCCTTTTGCCGTTCGGCACCTGCTCAAACGACAGCGCATGTCAAGGGCTCCAATCCCATGACTCAGGCCCATGACTCAGGCCCATTGGCCTTCGCAAAACACTCTTGACCCGGCCGACCCTAAAACTAGAAGGAAAATGGTGGAAATGAAAAACATCAGACCTCACTCACAATGATGCAGGAGCCTTTGTTCACCCAATCCCCCGAGAGGCCTGAAGATTTCTGCGACACCCCTTCAAACAGCGCTTTGAACAGACTTCCTGTCTTGTTTATATAGTTCAAGGAGTTGTATTATATAGTATAATTCATATCTCATTGCGTTGGACTTTCTGAATCGGCCCTTCCCCACGTAAATGTCGAAGATGTCTGCGCCAGGAGACTGCGGAAGTGGCCGGCCACCCGCCTCAGAGCCATCCTCCTCCGTCTTGGGCTCTCCAACCACAATGGCCACGCTCCTGATCAACAAAGTAGGCAGACCTCAAACAAAACATCTGCCTACTTTGTTATATAACTGAGAGCCCCAATGGAAACCACCGACCAAAATCCATGGCACTTAGGAAGTGCCCTCTGTAGTTGGAGTATGAGACGGATGACGCCCATCCCGGCCCATCCCGCTTCACCCAGGCACATGCGCGGGAAGAGGCCCTCGACTTGACCTCAGTTCGGGCGAGGTGTCCTGTCCGGCCTGTCCACGTCGCCTTCCAAGGGGCTTCAGCAAGCACCCCTCCCGACAATACAGTACAATCAATTGATTGTTGAGTGGCAAGGCCCTGTTGCATTGAAAGCATTGCAGAACAATGACTTATATAAAGACTTACAGTAAGGGATACAGTACTCACTAAAGTAACCCCCTATCCGTTTCCAGGAGGTTCTATCCATCTCAGCACTGGCCCCCATGTTGACACAATTTCAAGTCGAGCAGCTCACCGCGCCCGCGCAGCTGCGGCAGAGGGGTTTCTTTGACCACAGCGTGGCGGAGGCGCTCCAGGTCGGTCGCTTCTCCGCCGGCACCGCGCCGCCTCGGCTGGGAGACAATGGTAGGCTGGAAGGCCTGGAGACTGACAGATCGGAACCTCAGAATAAGGGCGAACAAACAAGACATGGTTGGGATCTTGCTTCAGTAATCCGCAAAAACTTGGCCAAAACTGTCCAAGTGACAAAGGCCAGTCAGCAGCTTAAACTCCTTAGTGGCAAGTCAAGACATGTCATGGCAGCGTCATGGCAGGCGGGCCTGAAAAGGCCACTTTCCAGTGTACACATTCCCTTCATTTGGAGCCTCACCTTCAAAAATACTTTCTTCCATATTCTTACCTGTAGCCTTGGCCCTCGTGGCCTTGACAGCTCTCCTCTCAGCATCAATGTGTGCCAAAGCATCGGCATCATGCCTCCGGTCGAAGACACGGCCATTCTCATCCTAAGTGCACCATGAAGTTGGGCATGCAGTGCACCGGCCATTCTTTTTTGAGCTGTTCACTTTTGGTGATTGCTTCAAGTTCTTCCAGCGTCTTGGTTTTCGAGGCCTTGGGTTTCACCTTGATGAAAGCAACAACTTGACTTGCACATGCTCCGGTGAATGGTAGGGCTGGTAGGGCCCAGAAGGCAGAAAATCCTTCAACCCAGGAAAACAGCAGTAGGGATGTCAGACAAAAGCATTGCTTTCCCTCCAACCATCACTACTCTCTGCAGCAAGGTCCGCGGCAAGGGAGGGGTCTCCGCCCCAAACGCGTCAAGACTCCGCTGCTTCGATGGACTGCAGAGGGCCCCCATCGGGCGCCAACGGAGCACCAGGGGTCTTGTATTCACCTCAGCTCGGTTGATCGTGGACGAATGCAAAGCATCATCCAGCCCCAAAGATCCAGCCTCTGGGACTTCCCAATCTAGATCATCTCATGTATAAATGGAAATGGTTATAGGTTATATATATATATATATTTATCCATTTATTCATTTATATGTCTATATATATATATAGTGTTATTGATCTACAACACAGTATCTATATTATCTCTGTATCCGTGGGGGTTGTGTCACAAGTCTACAGTCGAGTCTAAACTCTGAGGCCGCGCTCCTGGACATGACCTTGGACAGAGAACGGCTTCGCGTGCAAGCAAGACACCGCTAACTGCGAAGTTGTTGTAGACACCTGCGCAGCCAGGCGACACCAGAAACCAGGTCTTACCCCTGAGCATGAGGTAGAAGAAATGAAAGGCTCGGATCAAGCAACGCAACAAGCAAACCGGCCGGAACCAAGACCGAACAACTAACAACTAGTCGCTGAGGGGCAGTTCCCATCTGCATCTGACACAGACAGGATCGCCACATTCCGCTTCAGGCGAGTAAACCAGTTCGGCCCCGAGAAGTGCTCTCCGAAGCAGTAGAGGCTGGCGTCCTCGGAGCGCTCTTCTGGAGTGGTGGCATCACGATGGCCAACCAGAAAACGAACCCAAAGAGAAGGGACGAATCACTTCATAACATGAGACTAGATAGAAAAGGAGAGAGAGAGAGAGAGATGGTCAAACTGAAAGACGTTGGATGTTCGTTTTGCTAACTTGACAACATCGCTGAGTGAGCAATAATTTTGGACTTTCCCTCATATCAAAGCATCAACACATTCGGATTATGCCCCTGGATTCTGCCCCTTGCCGCTGTGTGACCGAGAAGAAATAGAAATCCAAGATCTGCAAGTATCCTGGTTCACGCTGACGGTCTTTTTGGTTTGTGCAGGTGGTTGAATGTCTCGTGCTGACAAATGCCGAGGCGACAACAAACCCTTCCAGCCTTCGTATGAAGCCTCGGCTCATCAGGCATAAGTCTAACACCAAAAGTATTTCACAGTGCCCCCTTATGAACTATGAACACGGGCAGCACAAAGCTTGAACTGCCAACAGCCATGCCCTTCTGCTATGTGCTTCGCGCAGGGGTGGGTAGATGATTCCAAGAGTCATTGCACAGGCAAATGAGAATAGCATCTCTGCTGTCATCTGAGTTGCCGGTATGTTCGTCAGCTCCGAAGGATTGATCTGTCGCACCGGCAGTATCCGTCTGCAGACTGTGACCAGCAGAGTGGCCAAAACGGAGTTTTTCGTTAAGCCTCGGCTGCTCGATCCCGATCCCAGCCGTCCCTTTCTGACATGTTCAGCTAATAATAGCTTCTTGCTACTAGTAACCAGGAGCTACCAGAAGCTTCTCGGAAAAGCCCACCAAACAAGTTGCTTCTCTCGGGGCCAAGTCGCTTCTCCGCTCACAGTCAAGACGCCGGGTGAGCGCCTTAAGGTCGTTGAGGGACCGGCCGTAAGCACGTACGGCACACATGTCCTGAACGACGCTCACACGTAAAGATGTGCACTGGTGCAGTGGCAGCTCGCCGAATACCTGATTCAAAAACGGACCAGTGGAAGAGAAAGTGAACATCAAGTGAAACATGTTGATTCTGAAAAAAGAAAGGCGGGTGCTTGTCTTGACGCCACACAGAGTCTGGTTGGAATTGGAGTTATATATAATATATAATTAATATACTTTCCAAATGCTAGCGCTGCTAGACACTAGCCATGAAAAGAAAATGCCGGCATCAAACGATCAACGGGTTCATCTGTCAACCCTTCCCCGTCCTCTCTGTCCTTAGCTCGCTGGAACATGCCAAAACGATGCTGGTGCCTTCTGAGTTCATGGTCTGCTTGCTTGGTCTGTCTGCCAACGCTCGTTCATGCCGGGTTTCCTTGGTGGCTAACAGCTCGACGTGCACGGCGTCCTGAGCTTTCTTCAGCTCATCCAGAACACCATCCATCTCAGCTATCAGCTCCTCACACGGCCGTCACCGAGATGCGACGCCCCATGACGGACGGTCGATGGAGGCCCCCAAATCTTCCATGCGTTTCAGTGTGTCTCTGGGTCCATTTGGCAGAAAATGCAGGACAACCCACCAACAGCTCAATCTTTCAAGATGTTCTCACTTCACGCCACAAGGCCCTGAGGTGACCTCAGCAAGGGCCCACTACACCCCTGTTTCGATGATGCACCTTCTTGTCATCGGGCGTAGTTGTGGTGGACAGCTCTAGCAGCTCCCGATGATTTTGCATCAGGATCTCCTGCAAGCGCTGCCGCTCCTGGCCCACCTCAGGCGAACACAAGATTCCGTAGATATTGCTGGTCCAAAGCTGTCCCCAAAACCTGTTGCCTTTGGGGACCTATATGGCAAAAAGACCGTCCTTCCTCATCTTACAGCGCAGCACCAGGGCGATGACTTTGCAGAAGTGGGAGTGATTTTTGGGGCGCGCACCCAGACATCGGACAAAAACCCAATGGAAGTTGACTGCAGCGAGAGGCGGATTCTGCGACCTGCGCAGCCTCGGCCTCTGCGTCGCGCGCACCTCGGGGTTTTCAAACAGGGCGATCGAGGAGGAAGACTTGGACCTTTGGCCCCTTTGGATGCGTGCCCCACACCACGAACAGTCTCTCTAATGGTCAAACCATGTCAAACCACTGGCAGTGGTTAAATTGAAAAAGAAAAACATGGACTGCACGTAGAGTTTTGACGTCCACTGCCCCGACCAGTTGGCGTGATGGGGACCAACAACTGTTTCACAGGGTCAAACTGTCCGGGATTGCACCCTAATTGTCTTTGCGGCCCTTGGCCAATTTGCAGAGAGTGGCGAACTTCCGCATTCGTTCCTAAGCAAGACCACCTGATGAATCAGCAAAAACATGGGAAATTGCCGCCATGCCACCTACACTGGCCAGCTTTCGCAGAGTCTTGCGGTCTTCGCTGCCGAGACCTCTGTCAAGGATGTCCTGCATCAGCCGGTCCTGGCCACATGCTGAGAATCTGTGAGAATGCCATCTGCTGAGGGCCACAACAAAACACTGGGCTCCAAGTCCCGTGAAAACCAAAAAGAAACCCTGTCTGACCCCCTACGCATTCCCCCCGGCCCCCTGCGCGGTCCCATCACGCACCTCATGCTCCAGCATCGGTCTCAAAACCTCTGCCCGCAGCCTGGCCCGACTCCAGACTGCAGCAAACCAAGGCGACGGGGATCCAGATTTCGTGGTGGTAGAGAACTGACATTAACAGTCCCCCCCCCGCCAGGTGAATTGATCGATTCCGGCCGATTGTGGCACACCACGACGCACAGGAAAGTCATCCACCAAAACAAAGGAGTCCGATATAAGTGAATGCACCCTATGGATTGGACCCGTCCACCCTGGCGGCCCAGCCGTCGTGGCGCGCGCGGCGACGCCCCGGCCTGAGCTCTTGCCAGCGCTCCAGCGCGACGCGCACTGCTGCGGCCTCGCGTTCGGGGAGCTCATCGGGTGGGCGTAGCTCATCGCTGCCTCAGCTGCAGAACCCGGTTGGAGCTAGAGGGTATACTTGCTCGAAAGCATAATGAGGGTTCATCGCTTGTCATCCCTGCAACGACCCTAAAATAGGCAAAACCGAAACCTATTTCAGCATATTTCAGCAAGGGTTGTGAGATACCAGTATGGTCTCCTTCAGCTGTGGTGAAGGTCTTCACAACTCAATCTCCCCTCCCAGTAGAACCACCTTGATGGAACATCTAGCTTGCAGCGAAGCTGCGTAGAGGAACCTCCTCTCCACTATCCAGAGCTCGCTTCCTCACGATGTGTCGCGCGGCTGTCGGTCATAACGTAACACACCCGAAGGCACTTTGGGCATGGGCGGATAGAACCTGTTGTCGACATGTTGGGTGGGATGAACAAATGAACATCAGTTAAAAGCTGTATTGGCTTGAGGGTGCAAAGCATTTTTCGGCACCAAATGTGACTCATGCCACACTATTGGAACACTCTTCCGAATGAGGAGAACAAACCGTTCTGGGCAGGGAATGATTGTGAACTACCAAAGAGATGCCACACAACCCCGATTTGACGCCAAGACCCAGGAGACATGCTGCCAAGCCTCTGCCCACGCTTACCCATTCGCTGAGATGAGTGGCTTGCTCATTGTCAAGACTTGAGGCTGAAATGGAAGGACGGGAAAGCCGAAACCGCCAATGCAAGTTACACTGCAGCATAAAGTCGAAGGCTCCAAGACGTATCACTTGGGCGTTGATCACTTTATATCATTGTTCTCTGTTGCAACAACAAATCATGCACAAAGGTAGCACAGCCTACAGGCCTACATCCTATCGTTGCTTAGGCCGGGGCGTGAAGGTGGGTGGGCAGCCCATAGCGCACGACTTGGTGTGCTTTGCTTGATCCAGAAGCTGATGTTGTCAATGCTGGTTCGTGACAGTCCTTCAGTCAATATGCTGGCACACCCACGCATCCAAATGTGAGGTGAAAGTGCAGGATGCCTTCACCCAAGTCTTTTTCTCCTGTGCAGTGTCATTGGCTCAAGAGCTAGAGCAGCTGGCAGCTAGACAAATCCAAACCAATCCCGTTTCGTGGTCACTAAGACTTGGCGAGTGGAACTGGAGTAGGTCCAATCCTGGCTGTGACCGGCACAGGCGTCGGTTGCAGACCAACTTGCATCTCTGCACTCACCGGTTGACAAGTTCGGATGCGACTTTGATCCAAGCGCCTGGGGCTTACCATCCGAGCCGGTGGCACTGGCACGGCCCCCTCCAGCGGCGCTCCACACATGCTGCAGAACTGGGAATCAGATTCATTCAACCACCCACAGCGCCCACACTTTGAAGGGATGGGCGTGGCCGGAATGGTGGATGTAGCTGTGGGGCTTAGGACAGGACTGGTGGATTTGCACGGTGACCCTTCGCGCCGTGCACCACACGCGGTGCAAAAGGCAGAGTCTTCATCCTCAAAGGCTTCGTCACAGAAACGGCACTTGGTCACCTCAGCTGGTGCTTCGGCCGCCACCTCGGGCTCTTTCCAGGTCCAGCTGGAGGAAGGCTGGATTTGGGCGACCCGTACAACGGGGGACGCAGGCCCAGGCCTGGGGCGGCTGCGCAGCACCGTTCTCATCAGCGCATCGCAAAGGCATAAAGAAGCTCTGGCATTCAAACGCTCCTCTTGGGCAAAAAGCCGGTAGATCATCAACACATGAGCTTCCATGGGTGGTGTGAGCCCAAAGTGCTGGAAGACCGAGCCCAAAAAGATCCGGGCTGGGCCCAGGCCTTCCAGACAGCCTCTGCTCGCTGCGTCCTGCTGGATGTACCTCTTCAGGGCTACTCGCGCCACATCACCCCGCTCCAAAGCCGCCGTGGCAGCAGCCCGGTGTGCCAAGTTGACCGCGGCCAAGGGCGCCAAGGGGGCCACAAACTCCTCATGTTGACCCAAAATGCACCCAAAGCCTAGGCCTAGTCTTTCTCCATGGACCTTCCGTGACCCTCCACACCAACAGAAAATGAGAAAAGCGCACAACTCCTCGCGATCAAAGTCCATCTGCACTTGCCCAAAGTAGGTCAAACCTGAGCATTGCAGCAATTGTTTTGTCACCTCTCTGTGCCGTTTTTTTTTGAGGCCCTGGCTTGATGCTGCCTCCACTTTGGGTATTTCTGTGTAAAGCACCTGGGCCAGGTCGGCTCCCTGGTGCCTCTACAACAATTTGCTACCAAAAGGTAGTATTGCACCAAAAGTGCCTGAGGTACCCCACCCATCTTTCTGCTTGAGACAGTGGGCTTTCAGCCACCATGGGGGTCTCGGCTAAGGCGCCATGTTCTGCTCGTAGCCTCCGCCCAGGCGTGAGTCCAGGTGCCCGGCCCTAGTGCCCCACTGCCCACCTGTGACTACACAAGTAGCCCGCCAACCACCCGTCCACCCCAAAAAATGGTTGTGTTGGAAGGACTGACATGAAAAAATGCAAGGCTTGGACACCGAACTCGAATCTCTTCTTGGCTTCTTGTCCCAGCCACACCGCGGAGGATATGGCGCGACACCGCGCCAGGTGCCTGGCCAATTCGGCCTCCAAGCGTCCACGCTCCTGCACTTGCTGGTTCACCTGCCGCTGCAGTTCCTCGGCCTCACAAGGCAGACAAAAGAGCCAGACATCGACTGGTGTCCTGGCGATCTTCATGATCCGTCTATTATTGAGAATGTCGAAGCCGGAAAAATAGGGAAAGGTCATCAAATCGAAGAAAATCGGTGGTTTTCTCCTGTTTGGTCCATGACTGGTCCCCCCAAACCGCGGCATCATACCTGCAAGGACCATCCGCGGGCGACTTGCAGAGCCGCGTCCTCAGTCGGTCTGGAAAGCCAAACTGCTAACCCCTCAGACCGGGACAACCCTGATCAACCCTGTACCTTTTTGAACCGGGGCTTCCAAGTGTCTTGCACGTGCGTCACATGGATCATGAAAAGCACATGAAAAGACAGTGTGCTGGCAATCCCGGGTGACTTTCCTCTGAAGACATGAAGCCTTGAAGCCTTGAAACCCTGCTGACGACCTGAAGCCTAGTGACGACCTGAAGCCTTGAAGACCTGAAG